TGCTGCCACCCCCCTGCCCACCTGGAGGTGGTTCCTGGCGAGATGCTGATGCTGAGGGCAGGGATGAGGCCATGGAGCTGCCTGTCCTTGGGTGCTCCTCACAGGACCTGCCTGCTGCCAGCAATTTCAGCAGCATGGTTTTGTTTGGGTACAGGTTGCTCCTGGGGAGATTCCAGTTGGACACAAGAGGAAAACCTGTCACAATGTGAACAATAAGCCATTGGAATCATCTCCCCAGGGAGGTGGTGGATCCTTCAGATACTTTGAAGATTTAGCTGGGCAGGTGCTGGGCTGTCTTATCTAGACCATGCTTTTGACAAGAAAGGTTGGACCAGATGATCCCTGAGGTTCCTTCCAACCTCATTATTTGTTCTCTCTTCTGTTCAGACTTGTTCATGAGCGTCCCTGATCTCAAGAGCTCATCTGAAGTGACTCCACGGGTAGAACTGTGGAAACACTGTGTGGGTGCACTGTCACTGTGGGCAGCTCCTTCCCAGCTCCAGAGCAGCTGATGCATTTTTTGATTTATTCCCAGTGCTCTGTAGCTGATCCTGCAAGCAGCACAGTTGCGTTTTTCTCCCTTCTAATCAGATGGAAATGCCTCTGCAGCCCACGCTAATTTTGTGTTGTCGGGAAATGAACTTACTGACTAACGATCCGACGTTCCCGGTGCTGCCTGGGCAGCCCTGGGCTCCCACTGCAGCTCCTGGTGGGACGTGGGCGGAGCCCGTGACACAGTGCCCTGCCGAGGTGAACCCTCCCACCCCCACCCTCCTTAATGCCGCTTTGCGGAGCCGAAAGCCCTCAGACAGATCTCGCTGCCACTGCAGGATATCTTCCCACCTCTAATGCCCACCCACGCAAACCTACTCGGGCCCTGTTCCCCTGCTCAGCCACGCACTGAGGCTCCCTGTGGGCTGGGTGATGCTGATGCCAGCACATCCTTCCCGCCCCAGCCCTGCCACCCTCGTGCTGCCGCTTCACCCAGCTCAGGATCCTGCCTGGGATCCACCCTCTGTTTGGGGTGATTTGGTCCTGGCCTAATCACCTGGTTCACTCAGAGATGCTCCCTTTGGGGCCTGACCAGGCTGGGGCATCCCCACGGGGTCTGGCCATGCCTGGGCTCTGCTGCTCCCCACACCTGGTTCCTGGGTTTCAGCCTCAGTGTTGGGGCTGGAATAACTGAGGAGACTCATGGCTCTACTCATTGCTTGTGTGGACTTAACATGACCTGGAGATGACCCCACCCGAGCAGGCAGGATGCAAAGGGCTGTTTGGTTGGGGAGAGCACTCAGGGAACCCCTCAGTTTCAAATAGAAGTGTGTTTCACAAGAGATGAGCCTTGAGTGACATCTTCCCATGCAGTGTTGCATTTTCTGCTGGACACGCTGATCATGCGATGCCAACGCTCCCAATGACTTTAAACCCATCACCTCCCCTCCCAGTCCAGCTGTTCCCAGCACTGTTTCCTTGTCATCTGTGTAGGAAGGACAAAGGGAGACCTGAGTTCTGAGAAGAAACAACCTTACTGTTGTCTGTGCTTGTTTCAGCCATCCTCTTCAGCTTTTTTCTCTCTGAAAGCCAAATACATCACCTTCTCCACCTGCTTCCTCTTGGCAGTGGTTCCTGTGCCTCTCCCCTGCGCTCCCAGTTTCACTCTCCCACACTTTGCCCTTTATGATCTCTCAGAAAAACGTATTGGAAACGCACCTGACTTGTGCTATGTCAGCATTTTTTAAATCTGCTTCTGCTCTGAGCCTTGTTTTGATTCCGCTTACCATTTCCCAGCTCTGCTTGGGAAACAGCACTACACATGGTAGTGTTCTCTCACCTTTGTCTATTAAAAATACATTTTTCAAGCAAAAATAACTTTTCCACTGGAAAAAAATCCGTTTTTCAGTGAGTTCAGTGAGTTTTCCTAATTTTTCTAGCAGTCAATGAAAAAGTGGACATACAAGTGAAGTACGTGTTTATTTGCTGTCCAGCCCCATGGGGTGAGTCTGTACTTAATTCATAGTCCTTCCATTCTCTCATTTATTCATAAATTTAAAGTCTCACACTGGTGGTTCCCTGAGTAAGAATCCTGGATTTACTGAGTTACTCAGCTGGGTCCCAGCTCCGTAAAGAGCTTGAGCACACGACACATCCCCTTTGCCAGTGGGACGTTTGCCTTCAACACTGGCTATACAGAGCAGGGCTGGGACCCTTGGGCAGGTTATAAACCCTTTCTGAATGTGATTCCAGGTTTTAATACTCTGAAAATCTTCTGAAACATTTTTGCTGAAACTTTCTCCAGTAGGACAGACATTAATCAGCAGGAGCAGCACGAACGTCTGATGCTTTTGGGGTCAGACTGTGTTCTGGAGGAAACAATCAAGGATCTGTGTGTTTGGACATAAGCTGAGCACTGTTCCTCTTCCCTGAGGGCCTCTTGGATTCCATTTCCATTTACTTTACCACCTCCTGGTCAAACGCGTGGTTCATTGGAACATCCCACCCGGATGGTGCAAAGCAGGTGGGAAGGATGAGGAAGCCCGTGGTTGGTCTGCTGAGGAAGGTGCTGAGCACCCAGACCCCAGTCAGACCCATCTGCTTGATGTTGAGAGTGCAAATTGTTCCCTGAGATGCAGAAACCATGGTGGGTGAATTGCTGAATTGCCAGGCAGGGAAATTTTCCCGTTTTCCTGCGTGTTTTGGGTTGGGCTGGCCTGGCTCCATCAGCTCTCCTGCAGCCCCTCTGAAGCTGGTCAAAGAGGTCACCTCATGGAATCACAGAATGGTTTGGTTGGGAGGGACCTTAAAGCCCATCCAGTCCCATCTCTGCCATGGGCAGAGACACTTTCCACCAGCCCAGGTTGCTCCAACCTGGCCTTGGACACTTCCAGGGATCCAGGGGCAGCCACAGCTTCTCTGGGCAACCTGTGCCAGGGCTTGTGTCATCCCTTCCCTTCAGCAGCCCTGATTTATTCCAGCCAAGGCTCTGGCCCATGAATCAAAGGTGTAATGATGTGACCATGCATCAGGAGAGCCTCCAAGGACCTCAGAAGGCTGCACGTTGTATTTTGGTGGTGGGATGGAAATTGTCTCTTTCTGTGTTGGTGCATTAGAGGACCTGGAGTGTGATCATTAGTGTAAGTGGCTGGTGGGTGAGAGCTGCTCGGGCATCCATTCACAGCCTAGCTGCCCAAAAATGTCACCCCACGCTGAGTGTGGTGCCAGGACACTCCTGCCCCTCGAGGAGCTGTGCCCTGGTGTGGAGCAGCTCCCACAGAACAGGCACAGACGGAAGGTCACCACACCCCAGGGTTGAATCCATGTCTGTGCTCTGCCACAAAACCTCCTGGTGAGCCTTGAACGAGTCACTTTCTCCAGAACTAGAGGTCCAGTAGGTGTTGGACCCTCCTGCCTTAATTTTTGGCTCTCTATGCCCTGGTAATTGTCCACAGGATGGCAGGAGAAAGAACATCTATCTCCCTGACCTCGGGTCGCTGTGAGGACGAGCAGGTTTTGAGGCTCTTGGTGCAGTGAAGGCTGAACCAAGAGTCTGGGACATGGCCCCACCTGCAACCCTCGTGCTTGGCCTGGTTTGGCCAAATCCTTGACTCAGACATGGCCTAGGTGTGGTCACGTCTTGCTGGGGGGGGTGTAAATGCATCGCCAGACACGTCTACGTCTGATGTCTGGGTGGCACCATTTTTTAGGTAAGTTTTGGTCACCTAAAGGTTTAGTCTTTAGTTCAGACTTTTAATATTTCATCTGAATGCCTTCCATGGCAGCCATTAAAGAAAAAAAAAAAGTGATTAAAATGGAGGAGAGCTTTTCCCATTTGTCGTTTTTTTGAAGCACTTGTGAGGCTTCACACGGCCATCGGGGGAGCTCCTGCTGATAGAACTGGTTGTTCACACACGGGAAAAGTACCATCCAACAGCCTCAGCCTCAAGGAATTATTTGGCAAAGGGTCTGCAGCCCCAAGCAAGCACGTCCACATCTGATGATGCTCAGCTAACGAGGTCAAGTGCCACTAATGGGGCCTGGCCAGGAGCCTGTGGAGATGGTGTGGGAACAGCACAAGGAGGACAGTGTCGATGGAGTCAGGGCCAAGAGCTTTCCTGTGACCTCAGATGTCCCCCGGAGCTGGTTGGGATGCAGGATCTGTGTCCTCCTGCAGCTCCAGGGGAATGTATTTCCAGATGATTTGTCTTCTCAAGGAAGATCACCAAACCTTTTCCACCAAGATCACAGCCCTGCTCCTGCCAAGCCCTGAGGTTGTTGTAGGTCCGTCCCTGCTCGCTGGCCAACCTTAAATAGTCTTTTTTCATCCTTCCATCCCCACATCCCACAAAGTGGGGGTCCTGCGCCTCTCCCTGGATGATGTGCATCAAGACAGGGGTAGAAGAGGCTGTTCAAGGGCAAATCCCAGTTCCAGCCTCCCAGCAGACAGTGGAACAGCTGAACTTGCTTTGCAGTAAGAAGGAAATGCTGTGGGCTGGAAAAGATGCTGAAAGAAAAAACAACAACAACAACAACAACAACCACCCTAAACCCCTAAGTGCTACAGTCTGTTATTACTTCCAAAGCTTTGCTGCAGATTTTAATCCTTTAGGGAGGCAGAGCACACAAGTCCTGCACCGAATGCTGCCCTTCCATCCCTGGGGGGGGGGGGGGGGAGGGTCTTCCATGCGATGCACCCAAATAATTAGCCCGTTGTGCTAACGAGGAAGGGGCCAGCCCTGCTGGGGGAGGGGTGGCCGAGCCCCTGCCCCGCTGTGGGAAGGCGCTCACGATGGGCAGCCTTGGCTTTGGCTTGCGTAAGCTTTAATCTAAAGTTGGGGATGTTTCCAGCTGATCTGTGTTAATGTTGGGTGGAATTAACATGCATACAGGGAGACCACGTGACTCCCTCCGACCTCCCTCTTTTTTTTTTTTTTTCCCGTTTTTTTTGTTGGTGTTTTTTGTTTGTTTTTTTTTCCCCCCCATCACTTTAACGGATTCCTGCCAAATCCGAGGGGCTGGTGCCTGGCAGGGCCAGGCTGCCACCGCCAGCAAGATGCCCGCAGTCTCTATCCTTTACAAGGGAGCCATCATCATCAGCAGGTAATCCCCCCTGGCCCGGGGCAGGAATGGGGAGGGAATGGCAGCCCTGGGGAGCCCCTCTAGCCGAGGTTCCTCTGCCGTGGCTCTCCGGGAGCAGGGTGGGGTGGCAGGGGTGGCGTGAATGCAGCAGAAGGAGCCAAGGGCACTTTCCCCAGCCCCTGGGGTTGGGTCTGTGTGTCTTTGGCATCAGCAAAGCTGCTGCTGCTGCTGCTGCTCCCTGTCCGTGCATCTGTCCGGGATAAGAGCTGATTGTATCAAGGAGGCATCTGCTCCGCCGAACCGCCGCCCGTCTGTCGCGTCCCAGCCCGGTTTGCGCTGCTCCTGTTCACCCCCGGCGGAATTTCCTCGGTGATTTACTCCAAATACTCTGAAAATCCTGGGTGGTTACTTGAACCAGCCAGGGCCCAGGGCTGCTCTGGCTTCCTGGGGTGTCTTCAAGCTCCGTTTTCTGACAGCCAGATGCGGTCAGTGGTTTGTTCGGTCTTGGATACGCGAAACAGTGCGAGAATATCCAGGAGGAGCATTTTTATAACAGGGAGAAAAAGCTTCCAGTTCGAATCTTAGAAGGGGGTGTTGCTGGCTTTGCAGAATAGCTTGATGTTTTTGGTCTTATTTTGGATTCCTGAGAAGAAAAGTCCTCACAGTTTTTTCTTATCCTGCGTCCTGCTGGACTCAGAGGAGCCAGTTGTTTTCCATGGCGTTGTTCCTCCTCATCTGTGTTCAGATCTGGGACCTGATATTCATTTGGAAACACCTTTTCTCTTGCAACTTAAATCCTGGGGAGTGTTTTGGGAGTCACTCTCGGGGCTTGTCTGGCTCTGGGTTTCTCAGATGAAGGCTCACCATCCTCACGGGGGTGACCACCACGGGCCACCCACAGAGGAGAAGCACCAGCGGTCCCGGGTTTGGAGTCTGACACCCCCAGTTGGGGCAGAGTGGGACTGGTTGTTTTTGGGGTCATTCATTTGGGACACCCCCCTTGCCTGAGGGCGTTTAGGGGGAGACTTTGGGGTGTTTGGGAGAGTTTCTTGCCTAGGGGGAATCTCAGGTGTATGATCTCTGGCTTGTGATGAGAAGAGCTCCCACCCTCCACTCGGCCAGGCAGGGTCTTGAAGCGGCTCAGCAGATCTTGCATCCCCCTTTTCCAGACCCCCTGCCCACATTACAAACCTCGAGGAGCAGATTGTGCCCGGCTGTCTTCGTTCCAGGCTGCCTGTATTTGTGAAACTGGTTTATTCCCAGAACATTGGTCCGAGCTCTGATCTCATTTCCCGGGAGCTGGACAGCTGTCCAGCCCCGATAATCTGAGGTAATGAATCACAGACAGGTCCATCAGATTTGCTGGGTGGGGAGGATGATGCCCAGCCCTGCACAGATCCCCTCATTTATCTGTGTAAACTTCGGGGGGGGGCGGGGCTGGGAGGGGGTTGATTTTTGCCCCAGTGTGGGTGTAACGTGTGGGGCCGTGGCCCTCACGCTGTGTGTCTGCAGGGGTGTGTGGAGCGGGTCTGGGGGGGCAGGGAGGATGTGCTTGTGGGTGTTGGTTGTGTCCTTGCAGCCTGTGACAGAAAGATGCTCCTCTTCTCTCTGCCAGGACACTCATGGGACCGTATGGGATGGATCGAACCGTGCACTGCTTCGATTTCTACGACTGTGCAAACGGGCTGGGTGAGTGCAGACCCTCCACGAGGGACATCAGGGTGGGCTGGGGCAGCTCCAGCATCTCCTCGGTCCCTGTGTTGTGATGTGGCTCCCCATGTGACAGTCTGATCTCTCACCAAAGCACTGGTTGCTGGGCCTGCCTGTGCCAAGCATCTGATAGCACCTTTTGCAGCTGGGATGTTAAAATTGTATCAAAATCCCAAGTAATTTCATGTCAAGGGTGAGCAGCCCAAGTGCTGAGAGCTGTGCAGGAGCTCAGGGCCAGAACATCTCTCTTGAGCAGGAGGGGGGGGAAAGGCTTTACAGGATTTCCTGAATTTAAAAAAAAAATAAAAAATTATATTAATTAATTAAACAAACAAATAAATAAATAGAATAGAATAGAATAGAATTCCCAGCACTTCCCAGTCACCTGCCCCTGTCCTGCTGCAGACTTTCCCCCTTCCCCCCAGAAATCACCCTGATGGACAATGCAAGCTGCTGCAGCTCTCCTGGGGACTGGGCTGTACGAGTTTTTTTGGGGAAAGTTTGGTCCAGAGGTGAAGGGTATGAGCACCCAGTGACTCAGGTGTCCTTCCACAGTGCTCTGAACATCAAAGCATGTAAGAGAAAGGAAAAGAGAGGGTTCTGTCCAGCAGAAAGTCCCAGGTTCACGACACTCAGCCCAAAGGAATCCAGCAGAGCATCTCATCTGACTTCTATATATCCAGCAGCATAAATACTGCTGCTTTGCCGTGGACTTTATAAAAATCTGTTGTCCTGCATCAGAATCTCTTGGGCTCCACTTTGCAGTCTCCCCCATAACTCAATTGTGAGTGCAGCCCATCCTCCTGCAGAGCAGCTGCTGGCCCCTCAGGGAGGTCTCTGTGACCATCTGGGGACCCTTCCTGAGAAGTTTCACCAGAGAAACAACTGCAGGTTTCCTGAGACCTGAGATTAACGATAGATTAATTATTGGATGTTTCCAGCTCTGGGCTAATGGGACTTTCTGCCGTGGAGAAATGGCTTTGCTGACTCTTCCCTTGGTCAGGAGCTTCATGAGGTTCACAGGAGCTCAGGAAAATGTCTTTTCTCGCTGAATATGATATTTTAATCTCCAGGAGGTGGATTTGGTTGAGTTGATGAGATTTTAGCTGCTGGGTTAGATTAGCTTGTTAAAGGAGAAGACCCAAGAAAGCCTGTTGGGGCTGTTGCTGACCTGTGGAAGGAGTACACAGATGTGGCAGCCACTGGGAGCCCCTTCACATGCTCCAGCTGCTCTCCTTTCCCCCAGTTTGTGGCCAGAGGGTCTTTGCAGGCTCTTGTAGACCCTCTACAGCATCTTGTGATGTGCTGCAGGAAGGTGTAACAGTGTGGATTTTCTAATGCCATCATCACCTGTCTTCATCCTCTTCTGTGAGGTTTGAAACACCCAAGACAAGGGATCCTCCTCCAGAAATCACAAACTGGTTTGGTTGGAAGGGACCCTAGAGCTCATCTCATTCCAAACCCCCTGCCACGGGCAGGGACACCTTCCACCAGCCCAGGTTGCTCCAAACCCCGTCCAACCTGGCCTTGGACACTTCCAGGGATCCAGGGGCAGCCACAGCTTCTCTGGGCAACCTGTGCCAGGGCCTCCCCACCCTCACAGGGAGGAATTCCTCCCCAGTATCCCATCTAACCCTGCCCTCTGGCAGCTTGACCATCACTCTCTGCTGAGGACCAAGCGGTGCCTGCTGGATCCCCGTGTCTGCTGTAGGTGTAGCTGCTCAGAGTATGGGGTTTTTTTCTGGGGAATAAAGCTCCTTCCTGAGTTTCCTGGTTAGCTGCAGGTGCCATTCCAGCAGAGTCCCCCTGGAGCAGCATCACCTGCTCGGTGCTGGCGTGGCAGGTCAGCGTTTGGCCCCGGGTCTGTTGCTCTGTGGCTTTAGGTAGAAACCCACAAGTGAACTTCAGCAGAAGTTCAAAGGGGTTACTGGCAGCTCCTAAAACCTGCACCTGGAATTACAGAATAGCCATCAAAGGGAAGTGCTGATTAAGAAGCATTTCTCAGAAACACTGAGAGAGATCCCATTATCTTGACCTTCATCTTCTTAGGACAGGGCAGTGAGTGATTCACCTCCAATCTGTCCCTTCCTCCAGACAGAAAAAGCTGGCCAGGGCCACAAGATCAACAGAGGGATTAAGGGAAATGTAATTGAACGTTGCTGGCTTAGGCCAGGGCAGCCTCTCCGGGCGGCAGCCGGTGGGGTCAGGATGCTCCAGAGATGATCCCAGTTGGGCTAAACAACCAGATTAGCCAGGACACCCCCTGACCTGTGGAACAGGGAGCCTGGAGCAGGTGAGATTATAGCCCGAGAACTGCGACTATGGCATTAGTGGGAGCGGGATTAGAGGCACCAGAGGAGCTTGAGGGTCTTTAGGAAATTTATAGGATCGTTAAGAGTCTAAAGAAAACACCGCCTCGGGCAGTAAGTTCATCTGGAGTTTTTGCTGTCAAACTTTATTCTGCAAAAGAGAAAATACCGGGGACGTGGCCACCAGCTCCAGGACCTTTGCCAGAAAGGAAAGATTAAATAGAGGGATCCAAAATAGGCTAGATTATCTGGCCCTAAGTATGACTTAATAAGCATTATACCGGGACTTTGATGCTGTGACAATCAGAGAGCCATTATTTACCTACACTGGGCACCAAAGAGAAATTTGATTGGTGTAAGTGTTAATAAAATGGATAAGGAAATATACTCCCAGGGTGCTGTCACCAAAATCCTTGATGATTCGGGTTTGCTGCCATCAGTCCTGGGCTGTCCCATGGCCTGGCCTGAGCCCTGGAAGGGGTGAGACCTCCTGCCCTGGTGGGGACTGTCCAGTGCATTTTAGGGGGCAGGACTGGCACCCACAGCACCTCCTTGGCCAGGAGATGGGTGGGAGAGCAGTGTGGGCAGAGCTTGGCACCACCCAGCTGCTTGCCCAACGAGGGAGTCAAAAATCAGGGATTTTTTCCTCCCCCCCCCCCCAGGAAGTTTGAGTGTGTCTGGAGCAATACTGTGAGTAATCGCCGATTTTAATAACAAGATCGGATTTTCTCATGACATCGTTGGGGATAAAGGAGGATTTGGAGATACTTCAGCTATATTAAGGCATTATTACAATTGATTTGCAGCCACAAAAGGGGAATGAGTCATTATTGGTTTGATACCTCGGCGGAGGCGCCGCTCACACGCAGGTCCTGCTGGGAATGCTGAGGCTGAGCCTCTGCAGGTGCACATTTTGACACCATTTGTCCAAAGTGCCTCATCATTCCCAGTTACTCCATGTTCTGATGTGAAGAAAGACAGAGGATGACTGCTTGAGTCACCACCTTGGCTTGGGCTGGACTTCCAGTGTTCTCCCCATCCAGGGAGACTGATGGGACTTTGCCTCTGCAAGACCTCTAATGCCAAGGGTTTCCCAGCCCCATCCCGAGTGTGACCCTGCTCCCAGGGTGTCTCTGTAAAGCCCAGCAGCAGCCACCCTGCTCCCACTGGGAAGGGAGAAGTTTTCCAGCTGAGCATCCTGGGCAATAAGCAGGTTTTGCCTTCTGTCCCTGAGCTTTGGGGCTGCAGCAGCATCTCCTCTCTGTTTTGGTTTACAGGTGTCTGACCTGCTCCCAGGCCTTGGGGAGTCTTGTGTTGCTGGAGATACTCCTTTTGGGCAATATTTCCTATTTGAGTGAATTTTGTCTAAAATGCAATGAAGAACAACATTAGTGCCTATTCCTGAGGGGTTCCTCTGTGAGTTCCCTGCTCCGCCAGTAAAACAGCTCCTCACAGGTGCCTGGTGAATGCATGAAACCCAGAGAATAAACTCAGCACTCAGACAGAGCTGGGATTTTTAGCTTGGGAAGAGCAGCAATTGGTGCATGTAGGAATGAACTGGAAAATTGTAATAATCCAATTCTAATATAAAGGTGGTTTAAGAGACGGCCTTTTTCCCTAGAGACAGGTGAAAACTGGGTTATAGAAGGAAGGAAAACAGGGGTGGAAATAGTTCTGTGTCCTTAGTAATCCCGATGCAGGGTCTGCTCCTCTTCCTTCCTGCTCATTCCAGAAAGGGCTCTCGTGTTTGTGGCACAGCCGTGCTCTGCTCCCCTGGGGGGGTTTGAGTTTCCTGCAGGGGGTCACTCTGTGCACCCAGGACCTCACCAAGGCTCGGGGCAGCCCATCAACCCATCAGCAGCTGGAGGGGGACGCTGGGCTGGCACTGGCAGTGCCTCTCTGTGTGGCACAGCCTGTCCCCAGCCTGCCCTCCCGGCCAGAGCAGCAAAGTGCCCGACCGGCGGCTCTCGGGGGAGATTTGTTAATTAAAGCCAGGCTTTTTAATCCTTCTGTCCACAGCCTGGATCTTCGAAGTAGGACTTAATGAGCCCTGGATAAATAAGTCTCTTGGACCTTTTCCTGCCAGCCAGCTTATGCATCTCCAGCAGGGGAAGGTCCCGTGGCTGGAGCGGTGGCTGTGGGGAGCAGGGTACCTGAGCTGTGCTGCTGCAATGAGGGGGTTCAGAGCTGCACCAGGGTCATCTCCGGGCCTCTGGTGCTCCTTCTGGATCCAAACACTGATAAAAGTGGCTGCTCCTGATGGCAAGATCAAAGGCAGTGGTGGAGATGCTGCTGGGGCCTGGCAGGAGGGTGGGCATTGGGGTGTCCCCAGCCACTGCAGTGAACCTGCCCAGATGTTGCACCTGGAAATGGGTCTCCTGTAGGAAATCCTTGTCACCAGGAATGTTTTGTATGATAGTTCTTATCAGAGAAATGAGCACAGGCTGAGGCATCCATGGCAGGAGAAGAGCCTTTCCTGTCACTGATGGACCTGGAGCTGCTGGAGCAGTTCCAGAGGAGCCCATGGAGATGCTGCCAGGGCTGGAGCCCCTCTGCTCTGGAGCCAGGCTGGGAGAGCTGGGGGGGTTCACCTGGAGAAGAGAAGGCTCCAGGGAAACCTGAGAGCCCCTTGCAGGGCCTAAAGGGGCTCCAGGAGAGCTGGAGAGGGACTGGGGACAAGGCATGGAGGGACAGGACACAGAGAATGGCTTCCCACTGCCAGAGGGCAGGGCTAGATGGGATACTGGGAAGGAGTTGTTGGCTGTGAGGGTGGGCAGGCCCTGGCACAGGTTGCCCAGAGAAGCTGTGGCTGCCCCTGGATCCCTGGAAGTGTCCAAGGCCAGGTTGGAGCAACCTGGGCTGGTGGAAGGTGTCCCTGCCCATGGCAGGGGGGTTGGCACTGGATGATCTTTAAGGTCCCTTCCAACCCAAACCATTCCATGGTTCCATGAACTTGGGGTTGGGGCTGCATCCCTTTGGGATTGCCCGTGGAAACTGATTCTCCTCCCTTTGTGTCCTGGGCTCTGCTTTTCCTGCAGGTATTAAGGTGATCGGTGGCATCAAGGAACTCACTGGAGAAGAATATGGAGTTTATGTCAAGCGGATCCTTCCAGGGGGTGTTGCTTATGCAGACGGTGAGTTCAACACAGAGTCTGGGGACAGCCCCAGTCCAGCCTATTTATTTTATATATTGCCATATTAGATGTTTTAGGTGGTTCCTCAGGGATTTTTCAGCGGTGGGGGTATTTTTTTAGCGTGGCAGTTGTTCTGACATTCAGTGGCAGCCTTGGATTGGCTTCTCAGCACGTGTTCGATTGCTTCGCATCTCCAAAGCTTTTCCCATCTCTGCCACACCACAACTGCACTTGGCTGCCTGTGCTTCCCCACCTGCCACTCACTGCCTGTAGTCCCAAAATGACCTGAGATCCTTTTGCAGATTCAGCTCTGCTCTGGGTCACTGATTTAATTCTGAATATGTTCAGATAAGTAGGTATTAGAGGGGTCTGCAGAGTTCACCTGTTAGAACTTAAGCCAAAACAAGATATTTTTCTCCAAACGTTACATCATTTTCCCATCCAATAAAGGAAAATTAATCCAGAACAGGTGGAAGTGCCAGTCATGGTTTTCTACCTGACCTCCAGCTGAACTGCGTGACCTCAGAGTGAATTAAGAAAAAGCTTCATTGCATTTTTTGGTATTTACTTTCGTAACTTCCCGGAGCAGAGGAAGTGCTGGGACACTGGCACAGGTTGCAGAAACTTCATCTCTGGACATCCTGAAAAACAGGTTGGACGAGCATCCCCGGAAGGACCAAAGCATTTCTCATCCTGTCTCTGGGCAAAGGCAGCGACTGCCCAGCCTCTCCCAGTCCCTCCAAGCTGTACTTTCTGCGCTTTCTATCCATTAGTTTTCTTTTCTAGGGCGCCTGCAGCCAGGAGACCAGATCCTGGAGGTCAATGGAGATTCCCTAATTGGAGTTACAAGTGAGAGGTACCACATCCAAATGGAAATTTGGCTTTCCTGTTGCTTTTGTGTAATTCTGGGAAGTGGCTCGGGTTGAGGGTTGCATGGAGGACACCAGGGAATCACTCTGTCTGTGCTGTTCCCAAGAGCCCAGTTGGGAATTCTCAGACCAAAATGATTTGATGTAAAAATAGACCGGTGAACCCAAACAGTATTTTGTGAGATATTCAGACATTTCCCCCCAAATACCGGGGTTTTACACAGCTCCTGGCACCCCCACTCCATCTGCTCCAGCTTCCCAGCCAGCCCCTGCAGCTCCCAGCACAGGAGATTAGCTGGAGCCTAAGCCTGACAGCGCTGCTCTGTGTGGGGGACTCCCTGTGGAGCCACAATCCAGCCCCTCAGCTCCCCACTAAGAAAATAATTAACAGCTCCAGAGGCGCAACGACACTCTTGGGGCTCCCCTTTCCCATTAAAGATGGGGCTGGGCCGCTGTCTGCCTTTAATTCCTGCATGGTGTGCTGGATGGATGCTTGGGAAGCAGCATAAGGATTGTCCTTACCCTGATTGTCCTGCTCCCAGAGCCACAGAGCAGCTGAGTTTGATGATGGACGTCCCTGAGGACACCTCTGTGGCTGTGGGAGGCTGTGCCTGGCCCTGGCACACTGCTCTGGCTCCCATGGGAATACCTGTATTTCTGAACCAGAAAGTGGCCGTCCCTGAGATGGAAACTTCCACGGGGAGGGGATTATGGAATCATGGAATGGTTTGAGTTGGAAGGGACCTCAAAGGCCATCTCATTCCAAGCCCCTGCCACGGGTGTGCTGGGAGGTATTTCCTCACCCCCATGGGCATCTCCTGAGGTTTGTTATCAGGGACTTCTCAATTATTGCAGAAGTGGGAAAACCAGGATGTGTCTTGGCCGCTCTCCAGCCCCTCAACCAGAGCAGGGAACGTGCCTGTTCCTCGGGCATCTGCCTGGGATTGTCCCCTCAGTCGCTGACGGGGCTTGCCCAGTTTCCACCAGCTGTGATGTTTGTCTGGGTGAGCTGGGTGGGGCAGCGCTGGGAGCCAGTGACGTGTCCATGTCCATGTTTTCCAGGGCCGTGGACATCCTGAGGACGGCGTCGGCCACCAGCCACATGCGCCTTCTCATAGCCCGCGACGACGACGCCAGGTGAGGGGGGTCCTGTCACACCGGGGAGGGCAGCGTGGCGCTCGCTGGCCCCACGGCCACAGTGCCTGGAGTGGGGAGCGCTGAGGTGGCCACTGAGGTGGCCCAGGGGTTTTGGTAACTCTGTACTGGTGGGAACGCAATGGAGCTGGAATGGGAAGGGAAGCCAAGCTGGTGGTTCCCAGCTCCAGCCCTGACTGTACCTGCTCTGTGGGACATTCCAAAACTGAGATTTCCACAGGCCTTTTGCCAGGCAGGACCAGGGCAGCTCCAGCCTTGGCTGGAGGGTGACACAGCTCCCTCAGCTCTGCTGTGTAGTGATGAGCTTCAGATGAAGGTATACAGGGACAGCAGGATCTTCCTTTTCCGTTCCAGCTGGACATGTTAAAATCTTCCTTGTCCAAAGGGTTCCTCTCCCTGAAACCTCTCCCCTTGCTGCCCCCTGGAAAACCTTAGTTTTTCTGGAGAGGCTTGGAAGATTCATGAAGAGAAGGAAAGAGTTCAGTCTTGGCTGGATGAAGCTGTGTGGGGCAGCAAGAGAGAGGGCAGGGCTGTGGGAACCAACACACAGGAGTAGCAGGGTCTTTCCTTGCATTGCCCAGAAGATCTGGCACAATGTGGTGGCACATCCTCTCCCTGGAATAGAAACACAGGTCTGGAAAGCTGAGGTGCACCAGGAGCCACAGAAATGAGGGTGGGTTTCAGCAGAGCGTGGCTGTGGGCCCACAGGGCTTGGCACTGGCTGTGAGTGGCTGAAGGTTAGAGAGGCACCTGCTCAATGCACCCACATCCCATTAGTGGGGAGGTGATGGATTCATTCCTTATCCATCAGTCGCTGTGGAGAGTTCCTGCCTCGACAGGACAGTGAGAGTGCTGTAATGACAGAGGTGAGACTAATTCTGACACAGCAATACACTGGTGGAAGAATTATTTGCTATTAATGACAGGCTGCTTTTTACCCACCCTCTTCCACTGGAAATAACATCTCCAATTATTCTATTAAGTGCAAGTCCTTCAGCAGCTGCTGAGGAAGCACGGGGTGAAGCAAGCAGGTCACCTTTAGTCTCAGTAAGGATGCTCAGGATGCAGTTCTGTACCACAGCAGTTCCCCTGGGAAGTGACAGTGAGCGTGCGTCTCTGGGGGACAGGATCCCGTCCCTCCCAGCAGGAGCATCCACCCATCCATCCACCGGCAGCAGCAGCACTTGCTCCAGCGAACACTTTAATTCTCAGCCAGAGCCCCCAGAGCAGGTTTTCTGCCTTCACCCTGATCTGTTCCCAGCTGTTCGGGCATCTCTCCGCGGCCCGTAATATGCTAAACTGCAGCAGATGTTTCTCCGAGCACACGCACGGGTGGCTTTGCCGGCTCCGGCTCCCCCCGCAGCTGCCGGCAGTGCCCGATCGCCCCGCCCGCAGCCGGGGGAGGCCGGCAGGGCAAGGAAACTTGGAGCAATTTATTTGGCCTCCCGTTCGCTCTGGGTTATCTGTTAAATCTGCAAAAGGTTAGCCGGAGGGAGAGGGGGAGAAGTAATCAGTTTATTTATTTATTTTAAAAGATTTGCAGAGATTTCACTTACGTAATCATCTCGCAAACTGTTTAATACACGAATACATATCTCCAGGATTAAGGGAACAGGGGGAAGGATTTTTCTACTCTCTGCTTTTTTTTTTTTTTCCTTTCTTCCCCCTTAGTTTTGTCTTTTGTTGATGCCCTGTTATCTTTTAAGTCTGTCCTTGGATGGGGCTGAGTTTGAAATGGGCCCAGCTCTGGAGGTGATGTCCCTGCAGGTGCCACGCCACGAGTTGTGGGCAAACTTAAACCTTCCCACCGCCCAGCAGAGCAGTTCACGAGACCTGAAAGCTGAGAAGGACACAGGGAGGGCCATAAATCAGTGTATTTTCAGATCCCTCAGAAACCCAGAGTGCCCAGGGGAGGGAACGTCACGGCTCTGGGTTTGGACGATGATCCAACCAGCTTGCCAATTTTCCCAGTGACTCAGCTGAATAGCATTTTGTTGTGGTTGCCCTCGGGTGAATTTGACTCACAAATGCTATTATTTGTCCCTGGAGTTAATTATAGGCCCAAATTACCTGTGCTTTTCATGGAACTCAGGCCTGGCATGTATCAGATGCATATTTTCAGCCCGTCACATCAGCCCTGCTGCACAGAGGGGCAGCAGTGCCAGCGCTTAAAGCAGAACATTCAGATCTGGAGCTGGACACGCTGGGTTTGGGGGGTGGTTACCTCCCGTTTTTGCCTCTGCTCACCTTTGGCTGACGAGGATCATTTTATTGCACACACGTAATTACTGTTTATTCATTCTCAGCCTGGGAGTTACAATAGGTCCCTGTTTCTCTGCACTGCACAGATATCATCCTGGTCTTTCAGGTTTATCACTGTGAGAAAGCCAGTTTGAGCTGCACCTCCTCGTCCTCCCATGATAAAATGCTAAACACGTCGTGTCTCTGCAGCGTCAGCTCGGGCAGCACGGGCTGGGCATTGACAGGGCTCCCACAGGGAGCAGCAAGGACAGTGGGCACCTTCTCTGCCAGTGCCCAAGCAACAGGCAGGAACAGAATCATTAGGGTTGGAAAACACCTCCAAGGTCATCAAATCCAACCTTTGAGTATTTCTGTCTTGTCAGTCAGACCAGAGCACTGAGTGCCATAGCCAGTTGTTTCTTGACTCCACCACCTCCCTGGGCAGCCCCTTCCAAAGCCTGGCCACCCTTTCAGTCAAGAAATTCTTCCTGATGTCCAACCTGAGCCCCCCCTGGCACAGCTTGAGGCCATTTCCTCTCATCCCGCCCCTTGTTCTCTGGGAGCAGAGCCCAAACCTCCCCGGCTCCCCCCTCCTGTCAGGGAGTTGCAGAGCCAGAAGGTCCCCCCTGAGCCTCCTTTTCTCCAGGCTGAGCCCCCCCAGCTCCCTCAGCTGCTCCTGCTGCTCCAGCCCCTTCCCACCTCCCTTCCCTTCCCTGCACACGCTCCAGCCCCTCAGTGTCCTTTTTGTTGTGAGGGGCCAGAATTGGGCACAAGACTTGAGGTGTGGCCCTTGTGTTGTTGGTTGGACCACTTGGGGCTAAACTGGCAGGGAGGGCTGGGACTGACTCCAGCAAGCTTTGGTATGCCAGGGACATCAGCTCTGCTTTGGGAAAAACACACATCCTTTCCCAGAGCAGCTGAGATGCACCTGGGCATGTCACTGCTTCCAGCCCACACTGCCAGCGGTGGAAATGATGGAATGGTTTGGGTTGCAAGGGTCCTTCAAGACCATCCCGTTCCACCCCCTGCCATGGGCAGGGACACCTTCCACCAGCCCAGGTTGCTCCAAGGCCTGTCCAACCTGGCCTTGGACACTTCCAGAGATCCAGGGGCAGCCACAGCTTCTCTGGGCAACCTGTGCCAGGGCCTGCCCACCCTCACAGCCAACAGTTCCTTCCCAATATCCCATCTAACCCTACCCTATGTCAGTGGGAAGCCACTCCCTGTGTCCTGTCCCTCCATCCCTTGTCCCCAGTCCCTCTCCAGCTCTCCTGGAGCCCCTTTAGGCCCTGCAAGGGGCTCTCAGGTCTCCCTGGAGCCTTCTCTTCTCCAGGTGAACCCCCCCAGCTGTCCCAGCCTGGCTCCAGAGCAGAGGGGCTCCAGCCTTGGAGCATCTCCATGGCCTTCTCTGGACTCTCTCCAGCAGCTCCACATCCTTTCTGTTCTGGTTCCCCATATCTGGAGGCAGCTCTGCAGGGGGTCTCACCTGAGGGGGCAGAGGGGCAGAATCTCCCCCTCCCCTGCTGCCCACACTGTGGGATCAGCCCAGGGCATGTCCAGCCCCTCACCCACCAACACCCCCAGATCCTCCTCCCAGGGCTGCTCCCCATCCATTCTGTGCCTAGCCTGGATTTGTGCTTGGCACTGCCCTGACCCAGGTGTGGGATCTTGCACTTGGCCTTGTGGATCTACATGAGGTTCACACAGTCCCACCTCTCTGACCTGTCCAGGTGCCTTCCCTGCAGTGTGTGAGCTCACCACACAGCTCTGTCAGCTCCAAGCTGGCTGAGGCTGCCCTTGATCCCACTGTTGCTCTGATCTGCATGTGAGAAAATCTGCTTTTGTGACGCTTTTGGTGAGCTTTGGGTTCATGGCTCCCACTCACCTGCAGGTTTGGTTCTTTTGAGGCAAACTATTCATTTCTGATGTCACAGGCTCCACCTTCTCTCCCAGCTGAGGTTTCCAGACGCTGTGCGCTCATAACCTTTGATGTAGGATTGCCCCTTTGTTCTCCCAAGAACAAAAGGGCAGGACAAAGAGGCATTATGAGATAAAACAACAATATCTTCTGCAGAAAGATCGACCTCCTGCTGCTTAATCTGTAGCAAAGTCATCCTCCAGCTGGCTGTGCTGGCAGACCCCACCATCCTGAAGGCTGTGTGGGACCAAGCTCTTTTACATTTTACAGGCATCCTCCAGACCTCTAATGTTTGCATCCTAATGAAAAAAAGCTGCAGAAGGCTTGTTAGAATTAGCTTTCCACCTAATAGAACGCCACGGTTGTTGTTTTTTTAATAAAGCTGGGGCATTTTAGTCCTGCAGGCACCTGACAATTCACAATGTTTGAGCAAGGGTCAAATTTTAAATATTAAAGACATCTTCTGAAGTGTCTTGGTGTCTGAAAGCACAAAGCTGGCATTCCCTCAGTGTGCGTGTTCATCGCTCGGTGATGTTTGGGCACCGTCTGCCTGTTTGCAAATTCCTCCAAACACAGCACCCAGCACAAAATTAACTCCCAGGAGATTGACACCAGAAACTGTGTTGCTTCCTGCTGGGATAAGTGTGTGCCTCCAGTTAGTCATGTGTTTATGTCCCTGCTGGAACCCAGACCTGCAGCACTGACCAACAAAGCCGGAGCTGGGACGGCGGCCGGTGACGTAGCGTTTAGTCACATCGTCCCTGGGCTGGAGCCGGGCTCAAGGGGCAGCCCTGGGCTCCCAGCTCGTTGTTCAGGCTTCTGAGCAAATAATGCTAAACACCCCTTTGTGGAGGAACTGAGCAACACAGAATAAACAACAACAACAAAGGGTGCTCGGACCGTGCGTGTCCTCGCTCAGAAGAGCGTTGGACAGCTCGGATCCGTGACCGGGCTCGCGGGGTTGGAGGAGCACAAGAGCTGCCCAACGAGTCCCATTTGCATTGACTAAGACTATTTTAGCCATTGTTTTAGGTTCATAACCTGTTCTGTGCTCTGATGGGTTATTATCTGAGGAAAATGTAACAATAGGTGACCACAGAAACACCCAGCCCCAAACACAAGCCAGCTGCTGAGGGCTTGGGAGTCACTGGGAATAATACACCAGATTCCAGCGTGTTTGACCTGCCCCTGCACGGGGTCAGGGAGGAGTAAGGTCATGGCTGAGCGAGTGACCAGTGAAACTGGGCTGAATCACCTGTAGAAACACAATAGCTTTGCTGGAAAGTGGAAAAATTCTGCTAAAGTAAGACCCACCCAAGGGAACCACAGAACAGCAACCGCTGTCCTACTGCTGTGGGAGCTGAGTTATCCTTCCACTTTCCCAGTGCTTGTGGAATCGTTCAGGTTGGAAAAGCCCTCTGAGATCTTCCAGACCAACCATTCCCCCAGCACTGCCCAGGCCACCACTAAACCAACATCCCCAAGTGCCACATCCACACGTTTTTTGGACATTTCCAGGGATGGTGACTCCACCGCTTCCCTGGGCTGTTCTAGTGCCTGGCACCCTCACAGTGAAGAAGTTTTTTCCTAATATTTTACATATATTTTGGTGTCCAACTTTATGACACTTGACCCCCCCCACGCACAGTATGCACAGGTCACACAGGGCTGGCCCAGCACATGGTGGGTCATGAACATCACCACATGTCTAACACTTTCTAGGGGGTAATTACAGTGCTTAGAGAACGGCTTTGATCATCCTTGTATCCTTTATACTGTTCAATCACAACAATGGCTGGAGACCACAGCGTCTGGGAGATGCTGTGGTGGCATCCTGACTCTTTGTTCCTGGGAAGTTTGTGCCCAAGAGGTGAAAACTAAAACAGCTTTGTGGGAGGTGGGGTTCCTGAACAAAGTCATTGTCTTTTCTTAAGGTCATGGGTTTAATTGATAAAGACAATAGTGTTGATGCAAATATTGGGATTCACCAAGGCATGCCACCCAGTATTGTGTGACACTTGGGTTTTAAATTAGCATTGGATGGAATGAATAAGGCATAAATTTGATGGCAATATTAGATAAGGCACACACTGGTCTTTGAAGTTTGTTAATGAGCTGGTTGTTACTGGGAAGATGTAAATTACGGAGAGCATTTCCAGCAGGAACCTGAGGAGCTGATGATTCATTCATCATTTAATATTGTTGGCTCTAATCTAGCCAATAATATATGAGCTGTGTCCCGGTGAGGAACGCAGATGACACAGCGTCTGCGTGTGTGTGAGAGCTGTCTCCTCGCTCAGGGGACTTTGCTGTGGCTGCTTTCCTACAGGTTTATGTCTTGAGCTTGTCTGACTGTCAAGCCTGAGAGCGAGCCACTCATAGCCAGGCTTTTCCTGGGGCTATGGCATCAGGAAGGCACCTTCCCATGGGGATTCCCTCATGCCTTCAAAGAGGACATCTAATGGTGTTGCTGTGGCCACAGAAACAACACTTTCAGGGTCTCTCCCACTGCCTGGCTGCTTATTTATTGGCATGTGTAAGGAATTAGTCATCCTCGAGGCTCTTCTCTCTGCCAAAGGTCAGACTGATCAGGTAGGGTGGGGTTAGAAAGGTTGGGTTATGAAAGGAGGGACAGATATTCCTGGGAGCAAAGAGCCAGCGTGGCAGGGATGGATCAGGAGGCTGATGAAGATGAACATGATGATGTCATCCCTTTCCACGTCCCCTCATCCAGAAGGGTGTGACAGACTCACGGCAGCTCAAAGAAAGGTTTCAGAAATGAGGCAGGAGCTTGTAAACGTGGATAATGATGGTTCTTAGCGGGGTTTATAAACCCCAGATGTCACACTTGGCAAAGGGGAGGCCACAAAGCAATTCACCCGTGGTGTACAGGTCGTTACAGCTCATCAAGGGTTTGGTTGTTTTACCTGGTGGTCAAACTCCACTGGAAACAAGGCACTAAGGAAGGTGCCTGAGCATGGAGCCAGCTCTCCAGGGGATTTTCTGGATGACATCTCGTGCAGGTCTTTGTTAAGGTGTTATGCTCCAAGAGTTTCACCGGAGATGTTCATGGAGGGCATCACCATGGGTGGATTCTGAGAGCTGGCAGCTGCTTCTGCGTGTGCTGCAGAAAGCCACATCCTATCCTCACTCCAGCAAGAGCTGGAAGGATCTGCCTTCTGTCCAGGAAGGAGGAGTAACAAACAGAGATTAATCTTTATTTAACTGTTCTAGAAAGAGTCACAAGCAAGCCAAGCCTTTCTGTTCTATGTTTGCACAGTTACAGCTCCTTCTGACGGTCTGTTTAATTTGTGTAGTGTGTTTCCAAAATTTGGAGCCCTATAGTTGGGGGTGAAAATAGTTCACCTGAGTCCTGGGAGGGTCCATGAGGTTGGGTGCAAGGCAGGGCTCCAATGTCCACCTCAGGAATGACAGTCCTCAACACCAGAGCCTGTCCGTGGAATCACAGAATCATTCAGGTTGGAAAAGACCTTTCAGAATAAATCCCTTCCCAGCTCCTCTTGCCCAAGTTCACCTGGAACACATTCCAGGACGGGGAAGGAGCACACTGAAGCTGCTGTGCCATGAGATTGATTACAGACCTGAAGCCCTGCACAAGCTCCTGAAACCAGGGTGTTTCCCTTGTGCAGGAGGAAGCCCTGTCTGCTCCCCACTGCTGGAGGGTGTTGGCCCTGCAGACTCGGTACTGTCACTGCCACCAGAGGCACCATCGCCAGGTAATCAGGTAGGGGATAGTCTAGAACAGCAGCTGACTTGCCCGTGTTTTTGTTTCCAGGAGGGAGTTCTCTGAGCTGCTGGAGAAGTTCGGCTCCCAGAGCAACACGGGCTCAGCGCGGAGCTCGCCGGTCCTGCACGGCGGCAGTGAGTGACCCAGCGTGTCTCTGGGGGGAACCAAAGAGAGTTTCCTTTGGCCCAGTGCAATTCTGAAGGAGTTAGGATTTGGGCAGGTGTTTGGGTGGAGGTTTGAAGGAAGCTGATCCTTATTCCAAGTCCAGGTGCAGAGCAGCGTGGCCAGCACAGGGCAAGCGTGAAGCGAGACACGGAGGGATACGAGGGATACTTGAGCTGGGGTTGTAACCACTCCCCAGACCCCCAGACTCTGCTCAACTGATGTGTTGTGCAGGTGACTCCATCAGTACCCACCTCTTCAGGGACAGCTTTAGCTTTCTGCTCTGCATTTCAAAGCATCTCAGCAGTAATTCATTCAACCAGCAGTATTTTTTTATTGCAAATGGGAGATGTTTCACGAGACACAAGAAGGTTGGCGTAAGCGAGGTGCCAGCACACAAATCCATGTGTGCATGGGGAAGGCAGCTGTCCCCTCTGTCCTGGCATCCCACCAGCCGGCTGCCAAGCCTTCCCCTCTGGCAGGGGTATGTGGGGCTGCCAGAGGGGTGACATTCTGGAACTGTGCTGAGAGGGCTGAATGTTTCCTCTCCATAAACCGTATCCCGACGATTTTAACAAATGTGACTTTCCTAAAAGAGACAGAGCAGGGGAGGAGGGTGATGCTGGGTTTGTGTGCCCTGGCCGTGACTCTGGCTTTGCTGTTCAGGTCGATACCTGGAGAGCACATCCTCGGGCTCCTCCTCGCGCTCCCAGAGCCCGCTGCTGCTGAGCCCCGCCAACCCCCACGGGCCCTGCATCGGCACCGCGGCGCACGCCCCTCACACACAGTACGTACAGGCCCCACCCAGCCTGGCCCCTGGTGGACTGTGGAGAGACATCATGGAGTGTCTGACACTGTTCTAGAGCCAGAACATAATCCCAGTGCTTGGAGGATGGCTTTGTTCACCCTTTTGTCCTCCCCACTGATCTGTCGCCCAATGACCACAGCACCTCCCAGATGTCGTGGTGGCATCTTGGCCGTTCCTGGGAAGTTTGGGCCCAAGAGGTGGAAAGCTTCCCAGTTGGGGCATTCAGTACATCTGCACTATGGTTAACTATGCAACAGCTCCTCTTCATAGAATCACAGAATTAACTGGGTTGGAAGAGACCTCCAAGATTATCAAGTCCAACCCCTGATCCAACCCCACTGTGATTAGCAGATCATGGCACTCAGTGCCACATCCAGCCTCATCTTAATAACCTCCAGGGACGGTGAATCCACCACCTCTCTGGGCAGGCCATTCCAATGCCTGATCACTGTCTCTGTAAAGAACTTCTTTCTAATATCCAACCTAAACCTCCCCTGACAGAGCTTAAGCCTGTGCCCTCCAGATCCCAGGGAAAGGTGCTGGTTTACAGCCAGCTGAGAGGACCCTGCACATCACCTCTACAAAACAGGCCGTGAGCAGAGCGTTCCTGCAAAGCCAGCACTGCTTTTCAGGAGGTGTTTTGGGATCTTGTCTCCTATTGCCCTGCTTCTGGCACGCTGACCCCGTGCACCAAGAGCGCAAGCACCTCTCCCTGCGAACATTCCCGACGCCCTTTGCTTTGGGGTCAGCAGCGGTCGCCAGGAGCCACCACATCCTTTGGCCTCCAGAGCATCTCCTGGAGCGTGTGTTTTCATGTGGTCCTCTGTCCCTTTCACATTCCACAGGTCAGGCAGAGCTTGTTTTTCTGCAGAGCCCCATCTCTGGGGCGCTCGGGGTTGTCCTTCTCCAGAGGGACAGCTTGGAGGGTGTTCACAGTCGTGGAATGGGGACCACTTGTCCCCAGGGCTTGCAGCTTCCCTCCTTCTGCCAGTGTAAACAAGCCAAATTGCTGGTAAAGAGAATCAGCCCTCACTGCAGAACCAGTAAATCCTCTTGCTAAATACCAGCTTATTAGGGATTTGTAGAGGACAAATATTTGGCACCAGAGGTTTAAGCTGCTTGCATGGAGTGAGAGACCCACACAGAGGAGAGGCCAGATTATCTGCTTGGCAGTTGGTTTGGACAAACCATCCTTCCTGTGCTGTTAACTCCCCCCCAGGCTGAGATACAGAATCCCAGAATGGCTTGGGTTGGAAGGCACCAACTCATGAATGATCATCTCATTCCACTCGCCCTGCAGTGAGCAGGGAAATGGGCACACAGGCTGGAGAGGGCCTGGTTTGGTGGCCTCCTCACTCAGCACTGCCCTGCTGGGCCATGCTCTGCTTGTCTCCATGCCAGTGCCAGGCCCCAGTGGTCTTCTCCTGTAATCACAGACCACTGATTGCAGCTGAGTGTTGGTGGTCAGCTGAGAGATGGAATTTGGGCCAATTTCATGCATGTGGCTGCCATCCCTTCTGCCCAGGCTGTCCCAGTGCTGTGACCTCTCATCGTGGCGTCACCTGAGGCCCTGCCACCCTCCTGAGCAGCAGGGCTCAGATACAGTTCAGAGTCACCACAGACAGTGTCTGATGTTTTGATTTGAGTGGAGGTTTTAAGGCTGTTATTTCATGACGTCATTTTCATAAGATCGTTTGCCTTAAAGCACTTTTCCATAAGAATAAGGTAGATGCACTCCTTTCAGTGCAGTGTCTGACCTCCGGGAATGGCATCACTGGGGAGCTCGGGGTGGTGACACGCTGGTGTCACCGTGGGGCACAGCCTGTCATTGTGTCTTAAGTTATGAGACAACATCAGGAGGACCACAAAGTTCAGATTGTTTGGGGATTGGCTGCTATGGAAATACATGGAAAAGGTGAAAAGCCAGCTGCATCCGTCCCATCTGGAGAAAACTGTTTGCTGACTCTCAGACCCCACCAAATCCTTCCCCAAAGCTCCCTGCCACAGTGCTGCCCTCCAGGGAGTTCAGCGAAATCTCTGTTCCCCCAAACTCTTACCTGCTGTGGCTGGGTCTTGGTGGCCTGTTGGGTCCTGTCTAGTCACTCTTGGAGAGAAAGGTCCAACCTGGTTGCTGCTCCATTTACAGCCATCTCTCCCCCTGCCCCAGCAGCACTCACAGTGCAGTGGGTATTGCAGCAAAGGATGCCCATTTCTTAGGGAGTCTTCCAGCATTTCAAGTTCCAAACCTCAGTTTAGACACACTCAGCTGTGTATCCCAAGCTTTCCTTCGATGTTTCCTGAGAGCTGCTCAATACTTGACCAATGTGTAAATTGCTGTCTGGTGCTTCGGCTGGATTCAAGCAACAACCATGTCGATCCTTCGGGGGCTTTTAGCTATAAAAACCAGGAGTGCCAAATCTGTTCTGGTTAAACCTTTGGTTTCTTCTCTATTTTAACCCTGAGATGAGCTCAGTTGGTCAGAACTGGCGCTGATAACACCAAGGTCATGGGTTTGACCCCTGTATGGGCCATTCATTGAAGAGTTGGACTTGATGATCCTTGTGGGTCCCTTCCAACTCAGAACATTCCGTGGTTCTGTGAGTATTCCCTGGTACTTGGGATTATGTGAGCCAGTCACCTTCATAACACTGAACAGTGTCTGCCAAGGAACAGGAGCCCTCACCTCCTCTTTCCAAGGCTGGGTGGAAAAAAGGATGCAGGGAAAAGGGTGGGAGAAGGTGGAAGGATCATGCACGGGAAGAAATCCAGGCAGAGGTCATTCAGTGACGTGGGAAAATAACCCAGCTCACCTCGAGTCACCTGCTAATGTCTCTCCCTTGCAGCTGCTCCATTGACTCAGGAATCCAGAGCATTTCTGTAGCAAACTCCTCCGGCCTAGGGCTGACCATCAGTGGTGGATCTAACAGGCCTGATGGGCCCATGATTTATGTCCAGGAGCTTTTGCCAGATGGGGACTGTTACAAGGTAAGTCGGGTGGAGACCCTCGGTGGCCTCTGGGGACCTCTCCTGGAGGCTGGAGCTGTTCTGAAACAGCTTTTCTAAGAGTAAATGGACAATGCACAGGCTAATGAGGATTTGTGTGGCAGGAGAAGGCTTTGGGCATTGACATTCCTTCCCAATCCAGTGTCTTTCTCCCTGTTTGTTTAGGATGGTCGGCTCCGACCCGGTGACCAACTAATCGCCATCAACAGAGACTCTTTGGTGGGCAGCACACATGAAGAGGCCAGAAAAATAATTGAAAAAGCCAAATTCAGGTAGGCATGGAACATATTTCCTGCTGTCATCATCAGGGTGCTGTTGAGTCTCAGGCAGAAACCCTTTATGTTCATATTTGTCTTCAAGAGCATCGTTAGTCTTAAATGATGCTTCGAGATGGTCCTGATAGGTGGTCACATAAGGAAATCTTGAAGGCATGGGTCACCCTGAAGTGTAATCCAGAGCTTCCCAGTGTTCTGGACCTCGTGAATATCTCCTGTCACTGCACAGCAGAGTTCTGCAACAGAACTGAAGTTCAAAGAATCATAAAAAAGGAGGCTCAGGAGAGACCTTGTTGATCTGTACAGGAGGGGAGAGCCAGGTGGGTGTCAGTGCCTTCTCCCAAGTAAAAACTGATGGAACAAGAGACAAAGGCCTCAAGTTGTGCCAGGGGAGGTTTAGATTGGATATTAGGAAAAATTTCTTCATGGAAAGGGTTGTAAAGTCCTGGCACGGGCTGCCCATGGCAGCAGTGGAATCACCATCCCTGTCAGTGTTCAAAAAGCATGTAGATGTGGCACTTGGGGACATGGTTTAGGGGTGGCTTTGGCAGTGCTGGGTTAAGGGTTGGACTCAATGATCTTAGAGGTGTTTTCCTTAACGATTCCATGATTCCATGAACCTATGGAACACAGCTGGTGGAGATCCAGCTGCACTACTGCAAGGCTTAAGTGAGATTACCCTGGAGACAGAACCAGAGCGTGGAAGTTCTGCAACTTTGTCCCTTTTGTTTCATAAATAAGATCTCCTGTATTTGCTGTTTGTTTAAGACACGAGGGAAGCACAGAAGTGGCCTTTATTCCTGGAAGGGGACGGTTACACCCTGGACTGTCAGTGCACAACAACATCCCATCACCACCTCTGAAGGCTGTGGGAAACGGCCTGAGCTCCTGCAGGCTCAAGGTCCACGTGAGGTCCCCAGAGGTAGGTTGGAGTTCATATCTCACAGCACAGATCCTGTGATCTTTCTTTGATCAGAAAACTCGTCTGCAGGGACTCCCTGGCAATATTTTGGGACAGTGGAAAGGCTGTAACGCTGATACTCGTGGCCCTGTTTTGCAGGCAGGTATTTTGAATCTGAAATCATTTCTTCTCTCTTGGGTTTGAGACAGAGAAGGATGTGTGGAGGTAATGAGAGGAATTTCATCTCCAGGGCCTGCATTCAGATCTGTTTCAGGAGTCTCAGGTTTTCAAAAACAAAACCCTCCTGTGGATAGCAACCTGCATCTCATTCCACTCCAGTCACAGAGCTGGAAGGGATCTCTGGAGTCAGTTTGATCTGGTCTCCTCCCCAAAGGCAGGAACAACCCTTTATTCTCGGAGCCCTGTGATGAGGATGAATCCTGAGTGTTCCTGCACAGCCCATTGCTGCTCTGACGGCTCTGATGAGCAGCCAGGCTCGTTCCTCCTGGGAGACTGAGCTCCACATTGTGTGGGCAGAGACAAGTGCTCCAGCTGTGGGTGAGGACACACAACCCTCATGATTCTCTAGGTCTGGATTCTCTGCACTTGTTGCTCCTCTCCTGGACTGGTGCCGTGCCGGGTGTATCCTCTGCCCTCTTCCTCACAAGCTTCCTTTAGAAATTCCTTCCCCTCATGTGTGAGCAAAATAACAAAACCCCCCTAAAGAAAAAAGTTTTAAAGTTCTGGGACCAAACTCCTCAATCCACTGTTTTCCAGCCATCCAGAACATTTTCTACCCGTGGGCATAAATGGCAACCACAGGTTTCCTGTGGAAAGTCTGATTTTATTTCATTTTATTGCAGCCTCGATAGATCTGAGACACAACTCTTGCTCACAAGTACAGTCTGAATGCAAAAGCAGGCAAAGAGGTTTTTTTTTGGCAAAAGGAAGAGGCCAGCTGGATGTTCCTTTCATACAAGATCCTTCACAAAACATCTCTTTCCAGCCCTGTGGGGACACAGACTGGCACAAATGTCATCTGCGTGTTTCTTCTGGGTGCGCCAGGCTGGAAAGGGCTCATGAAAAGCAGCAGCAGCCCCTAGAGCTGTAGCTGAGTGGTGTGGTTGGATCCTTTACCCACGGCTCACCGTGGTAATGTTGTGTTTGGGGGTAGATATTACACCTGTGTGGTTGGATGTCTCGGGACCTCACTGGTGGGTTGGACACAGAGCTTTAGGGACAACCTCTGTGCAGAAGCCAGACAAGGCCAAGTTCAGCATCAGCTCTCAATCACAGTTACATTAAGGGCAGACTTGTTTGTGTGTGACCAGAAGTCTTGAGATGGCCCAGGAACATTCCTGTGCTCCCAGAGAAACCCCTGGAGTCTCTTTTGGCCCATCTGCACATGTGGCGCCTTCAAGGGCCAGCTGGGTGGCTCTGTCTTGAACACCTCCATCTTCTGCTCTTTATTAACACCAGCAGATTCTTCTTAGCGACTGTCTGTGCTATTTTGTCTTGTTTTTCTAGAATAGACGTGAAAATCCTTTTCCTGTGCCTTCTTTGTCACCGGACATTTGCCCACCAGAGCTTACGGTCTCAGGTAAGAGTCCTGCTCAACCATCCTCCTTGTGTGGGGGACAAACAGCTGGGGCTCCTCAAGCTGAGCATGATGAGATTATAAATTCACAGAATCCTAGACTGGCTGGGACCTTAAAGCTCATGTCGTTCCAGCCCCTGCCACGGGCAGGGACACCTTCCACCAGCCCAGGTTGCTCCAAGGCCCGTCCAACCTGGCCTTGGACACTTCCAGGGATCCAGGGGCAGCCACAGCTTCTCTGGGCAACCTGTGCCAGGGCCTCCCCACCCTCACAGGGAGGAATTCCTTCCCAACATCCCATCTAACCCTGCCCTCTGGAAATTCAAAGCCATTGCCCCTTGTCCTATCACTACACGTTTTTATCAGTGTTTATACTGCTGTAGTGGAATTTAATGGGGTGATAACGAGACTCAGCCTGCTCAGAGAGGGGGAAGGCAGCAGCCTGGCTTACTCAACGAGCAGTAACTATGTCCATGTTTGCCCAGAGTAGCACAACTCTTTACTAAGGCATTCGAGGGCTGAGGTATTCACAGGACACAAATTCTTCCCCTCTCAGCCTTTGGTTCATTTGCAGCAGTGCCTTTGCATTGTGGTCTCACCACAGGCCACATTCCCTCTGACAGGAATGGGGGTTCCACAACACCCAGTGTAGCACCAGGTGCTCGGGACAGTCGTGACACACCAGCCCTGGCGCTGAACAGGCACCAAGGACGCCCTCGGTTGGCCAGACTGGGAAATGGCTTCTAGACGTGACTAAATCCGACTTCTCTCTACATCCAAACGTCACTTTTTGCTTATTTTCCATGCTGTGTTTTTTCTCCCTCCTCTGAGTCTACTGAGCTCTCACCTTTTCTGGAGAGACCCCCTCTGTCCACCCAACAGGGTGGGCTCAAATCACCCTGCAGCTTCCCAGATCCCTTGGGAATGGCAGGAAACCTCCATAACCTCTGTGACCCAGAGCCCGGGGAGACAACCTCCACCGAGATCCCCCCTATCCCCGTGACAGGAATGTTCTCCTGCCCCGAGGAAAAGATGGGTTTTCCCACTGAACCTCCAGCAAGTGCTGCCCACCCTTCTTGCAGCCTCAAATCCTTCCCCAGGTGCTGCCAGGGCAGTGGCTCTGCTCACAAATCCCTGTGCCTTGTTGTGATTCCCACCTGGAAGGCTGAGAGCAAGCACTGGACGTAAATGGTGTTCAGTCCACACCTGGTGGCTGATGGAGCAGCAGGTGCTAGGCTGGGTGTGTGCCAGCTCTGCTTCCAGGGGTGCCTGTGCCACCTTGGGCAAGCTCAGCAGGCTCCAGCTCTGTCTCCCATGCTCCTCTGGAGAGGCCCTGGGACAGGGGTTTGCTCTGCCCTCCCTGCCCAGAGGGTCCTGCAGGTGTCAGGTGGGCTCTCAGGTGGCCACCACGGAGAGCCAGCACTCCCAGGGGTGGGAACAGAGCAATTCAGCAACAGCAGTGACCTAATAATCACTGCCTGACTTCGCTGGGGGATTTATCCCACCAGGTTTTTACTGTGAAATGCTGAGGAGGCTTTGTGTCAGTGTTGGCACCCATGAAAACAGACAACTTGCTTGGAGCCTGGGCCAGTGCCTGCCTGTCTCTGGGTGCCTGGTGGGTGCCCTGCATATCTCAGTGTCCAGGGCTGACAGCAAAGCCACCCAGAGCTAATCCCGATTAGCCAAGCCCAAAAGGGAGACAGCTCTGCCCTTGAACTTGGAGAGCCAAGTGTTGGTGGCCAATCCAGCAAACCCAGTTGTTCCCCTGCTGCTGCTCCCAGCTCTGGCAGAGTGGATGGATCCTGGATCAGGAGGATTACGCTTGTGCAGCATCTCTGCTGCTCCTCTCTGCCTCCCCGCCTTGCCCTGATGGTCAGGAGGGTGTGGGGAAAAATGCTCCAAAGATTCCAGAGGAGTGGAGCTACTCGGCTTCCCATGGTGTTAATCAGATCCCAGGCTGACAAAAGCAATTACTTCCTGGGCAAATCTTGGGCCACCGGCATGAGGAAGAATTTTATCCCCTGGGCTGAGGGTTTGAGGGTGGGCAGGAGAGGCACAGCAATCCTGCACCTTCCTGGAGTCTGGTGCTTTTCCACACGGCTTTTAATCTGTCCATTCCCATGGGTTTTATGAATTGTTTCAGTTTTGCCTAATCAGTTAGAGCAGATGAGAACCAGGCAGATTTGGTTTAATTCTTTTTTGTTGTTTTTTTTTCACAGCTCACCACAACTGCAGGCCCCCAGACTCCACAAAACTCTGTGACTGGAAATTTCCAAAGTGCTATTTTTGCAGTCCTAGGTCCTTGGATGAAACATCCCATTTTAAACCGTGCAGAAGCCCAGTTGCAGAAAGGGTTTGCCCCAGCATCCTATCTTCCCAAGAGTGGCCTAGTTCAGCCTTCCAGAACCGGATTTAATCAATCCTGAACTTTGATTTTTGTCCTGCTGCACACACATAATATTTCATATAATTAGAGTTCTAAGTTTGCTTTGCAGACACCTCTTTCCTCTACCAAATGCTCCCCTCTTAGCATTTATTTTTGATTTTTCAGCACCTGCTTCAGCATCCAATCACAAAGCAGCTTCAGGTACCAAACCAAAAGTAGCACTGGATCCCCACATCCGGCTCAAGGATGGGAAACTGGAACTGGTGAGTAGAATGGGCCCCTCTTCCCAAAGCAAGGTGAGCTGTGCAGGAAAACAGCCCTTCCTCTCTTCAGCTGAGAGTGCTGCAGGTGGAGTCCAGCCTCTGAAGGTGAAAAGGGAGAAGGAATAGTGGAATATCCTGACTGTGTCTGAAGGGGAATTTGAACACACCTTGGCTCCTCCTGGGCTATTTCTCGCGCTCTGGAGGGCTCCAGAAGTCTTCTCCTGGCTTTCACACCTCCCTCGGACTACAGCTATTTGGTGCTGCTGTTGCTGCTGGGGTGACCACGGGCAGCCTGGGGTGGGGAGAGGCTGAGATAGGAGATCCATCACCGAGGATCCAGCTAGAACTGCTAATTCTTTCAGCATTTTATGGAAAACCTATTCCATAGGTTTTTCCGGGGGGCCACGTCCCTGCCTGGCTTTGGGGTGCGTGTCCCCTTCCCCCGGGTTCTGCTGGCGTTTGAGGGGGAGAGAGGGAACAGGGTCCCTCGTGCCGGGCCGGGGGACACAGCGGTGGCTCCGATGTGACGAACATCTGCTGCCACCCGACGGCAGCCGAGAGCTCGCCCTGGGCTGCTCCCACCTCCCGGGAGGGCAGGAACTCTTCTAAGCCTGCCTAATTCTCCTACAGCGGGATTTAGGCCCGCGTTTTGCAGCGACCTCTGCTCGTCACGGGTACAAAGCAGCTCCTCTGGGTAGGAGGAGAGTGACGCTGGTTTTCCCTTTTTAAGAGCCCGTGTTACACGCGGGCAGCTGCAGTGGTGACAAGCACAACCTGAGGTGGTTTTGGGGTGGCCAACCCACCCAGCACCCCGAAGTGTGGGAGCCAGTGTGGGAACCTGCAGCACTGCCTTGCACAGGGGGCAGAGGAGCAGCAGGTGGGACTCGAATGAGAGAGCAGACGGGTCCCAGGGACTTGCTTGTGATGGGAACGTTCCCAGGGGACCTCGTGGGAGGAGCTGGGAGCAGGAGTTGAGACAGGCAAGTTTTCATCCAGACCCTTTCCCAGAGTCTGCTGAGCTCCACTTTGTCCTTTAAAAGCTTTTAGTTGCTGCTGCCCGCAGTGAAGTGGGGCTTGCACAGGTTTATCTGCTCTCTGTGCTGCCCTGGGGTTCAGCTGATAAATATCAGTAGAAGTCAGGGCATCGGGAGTAATGAGAGAGCAAAGGATGAAGCGGAGAAGCAACATGTTTGAATGTCTCCTCTTCCCATGGGAAATAACTCTGGGAACAGCTTTTATCTCCTTGGTCCTAAACACAATTCCCAGGTAACAAGAGAAAGGAGAGGAGAGGCCAAGCTCTTGCCAGATGAGCCTTGCTAAACTCCACTGGCTGTGAATAAAAGTCCTGACAGCTCATCAGAGCTGCAAATCTGACTGCAGTCCACAGAGAGTGTTCTTGGAAGGATGTGAACACGTCCCTGCCTTCAGGAACAGCCATTTCTGTCCACATGCAGGAAAGGAGAGACTGGAGACCCAACCCAAGCCTGCTCCTCTGGGAGATGCTTCCTGGAGAGCCACTTCCAGGAGAAACCCAGCACCGAGTGTCTTCCCAGTGCTCACTCCACAGAGTTGCTTTTCCAGTATTTTATTTTTGAAAGTCTCCTTATTTCTGCTCAAGGTTCTGAGGTATCTTGGCCTGGATGTGACGGAGGAGAAGAAGAGGCAGCTGCGGCAGAGCCTGACCACGGACTCGCAGGGGACGGTGGCCTATGGAGGTGAGGGGGGAGCTTGGCTGGGTTTGGGGAGCTTTGCTGGCAGATAAGGAAGGAGAGAGGTGGCAGGTGAGACCCTGCCTGGGTATTGATGGAGCCTCAAAACAGTTCAGGAAAGTCCCAAACACAAAAAAAAAGGCATTTGGTCGAACCACAGAATGGTTTGGGTTGGAAGAGACCGTGAAGTTCACCTCATTCCACCCCCTGCCATGGGCAGGGACACCTTCCACCAGCCCAGGTTGCTTCAAGCCCCGTCCAACCTGGCCTTGGACACTTCAGGTTTCTGTGCAGAGCAAGGGATGGGACACAGAACCACACAAGGCCTGTGCAGAGCTCGTGAGGCCAAGTGCAAGGTCCTGCCCTGGGTCAGGGCAATCCAAAGCATGGATCCAGATGGGGCAGAGAATGGATGGGGAGCAGCCCTGGGAGGAGGATCTGGGGGTGTTGGTGGGTGAGGGGCTGGACATGCCCTGGGCTGATGCTACAGTGTGGGCAGCAGGGGAGGGGGAGATTCTGCCCCTCTGCCCCCTCAGGTGAGACCCCCCTGCAGAGCTGCCTCCAGATATGGGAGCCCAACATGGAAAGGACGTGGAGCTGCTGGAGAGAGTCCAGAGGAGCCCACAGGGATGCTCCAAGGCTGGAGCCCCTCTGCTCTGGAGCCAGGCTGGGAGAGCTGGGGGGGTTCACCTGGAGAAGAGAAGGCTCCAGGGAGACCTGAGAGCCCCTTGCAGGGCCTAAAGGGGCTCCAGGAGAGCTGGAGAGGGACTGGGGACAAGGGATGGAGGGACAGGACAAGGGGGAATGGCTTCCCACTGCCAGAGGGGAGGGTTAGATGGGATATTTGGGAGAAAATTCCTCCCTGTGAGGGTGGGCAGGCCCTGGCACAGGTTGCCCAGAGAAGCTGTGGCTGCCCTTGGATCCCTGGAAGTGTCCAAGGCCAGGTTGGACGGGGCTTGGAGCAACCTGGGCTGGTGGAAGGTGTCCCTGCCCATGGCAGGGCGTGGGACTGGATGAGCTTTAAGGTCCCTTCAACCCAAACCATTCCATGATTCTGTGATTCTGTGACTGGAGGCTCTGGGATCCAGGGCTCCCATCTGTCCCACACAGCCCCTCTTGTCGTGCTTCCTTTCATGTCTGAAAGCAAAATGAATCTGGATTTTCAGACTTGTCAATTTAACACCTTTTCTGAGCGCTGAACTCACTGAGTTGTCTTTTTGTTTAAATCAGCAACGTGAGAAATTGCAGCAGGAGGCAGGTGCAGGTCACAGTCATGAAAATTCCCCTCTGAAAATATCTGGAGGCTTGGGGTTTTAAAAGTAGTGGTTTTTTCAATTGGATAAAAAACAAAGAGTCTGATAAAAATTGCCAACAACTCATTTAAGCCTGATGGGATTTCTGAGGAAGTCAGAAGTGTTAGAGAGGACTCTTTGGCATCTGCAAACCCTCTCTGATTGGTATCAGTGGTGCCCCAAAATCGGTGGCATTTTCTCCTAACACGAAACACTTTTCTCTTTTAGCCTGGTAAAAACTGCTTGTTTCTCACAGATGTTCTCCAAGCACTCAGGGATCTGATGCAGGAGGAGCTGGAAGAGGCTGGTCTGGATTCCACCTCTGTGCTCTTCACACAGCATGAAGTGGCCAATTTGCTGGATACATCGGCTTTTCACTCCCCGGTCAGTCAGTCCAAAGCTCTTCTACATGGGGTCTTCTTTGTGAAATCCATGGAATTCTGAGATGGGAAAAGCTAAATTGCCATTTTCTGACTGCCCTAGAGCTATAAAGAGAAGGCAGAAGTATGCAATGATCATTTGGATTATAGGAAATTCTATAAGAGACCTCAAACTACTCATTTTTAATAAGGAAATAATAACATCTATGGGGTAATAATGAGGAAGCAGCCTGGCAGTGATGCAGAAGGAAAAACAGCCATAATTAATCATTATTAACTAATTGAAAATTCACTGTAAGAGAGCCATTCAGCAATGACAGGGATCAGAAATCCTGTGGGGTGAAAAAAAAACCCCTGGTGTTGAATTAGTTAATGTGCATTTTGATCCTTTGCATAAAAATCCCTCTTGAGGTGGTCTGGATTGGATGTGTGGTGAGTCTGTCCCTCTCCTTGCAGGCCTTTGACTCTCTCACCTGCAATGGCAGCGAGGACCTGGAGCAGCTGCAGCTGGAGATGACGGATCTGCGGCACGAAGTCCGAAGGCTAAAGGTGGAGCGGATTTCTTGGCTGGGGCCTTCTGCTGAGGTTGTCCATGGGGGTAAATGGTGTGGCCTGTTCCTCTTGAGAAGCTGCCAGGCGGCATTCTGGGCATTCCTCGTCACGGAGGAGCCTCTCACCCTCCGCTCTCCTTAATTGCCTCTTTCTCGCCCTCAACTTCAAACAAGAACTTATTTGAACTCAAAGCCTGCAGTCCCTTCTTAGAAGAGTTAATGTATTTAGGAAATACCAAAGAGTGTCTCAGGAATCAAACAGAAAGAACCACCTGGGCTCCCACCCTCTCCTGGCTGCAGATCCCCAGCACGGTTGTGTCCAAGGGGGTTTCTGCAGGTCCACAGCCCAAAAAAGCTCTCCCTGTGGGGGAGACAGTGCACAGAGCTCCCTCTGTAAAATAATGTTCTGCTGGATATGGGCTACAAGAGCAGGGCATTTCTAGAGGACGTCCTGTCACTTTGTTGCTTCTAACACGGTGACAATATTTTCCGTAGTCTCTCCTGAAAGAGGTGGAGAACAGCAAGAAGTCGATGGAGGATGAGCTTCAGAGGCTGAACCAGGTTAGTGAAGGGGTTTCTGGGGCCCTCAGGGTGGGTTTGGTGGTTGGCAGCTGAGAGGGATGTGGTGAGTTCACCAGAACTTCTGGCTGCTTCCAGAAAGCTCTGGGGTTCCTCTCCGAGAACCGGACGCTGCACAACAAGCTGCAGATGGCCGAGGTGGTGCAGAGACAGGCCCACAGCGCCGAGCAGGACTACGAGGAAGTGATCCACTTGCTGGAGGCTGAAATTGCAGAACTGAAGATGCAGCTGGCGGGGAAGAAAGCAAAACACGTCTCTGAAATAGAGGTAACGCAACCCCCCAGCCTGGGAAAGCCCCCCAACCTTACAGACCCTTCCAGTCATGGCATGGTTTGGGCTGGAAGGGGCCTTGAAGCTCATCTCATTCCACAAGACCTTCCACAAGACCAGGTTGCTCAGCACCCCCATCCAGCCTGGTGCTGAACACTTCCAGGGACGGGGCAGCCTCAGCTAAGGTTCCCCTCCTTCCTTTTGTACAGGAGAAAATGAAATAGCCCAGAGATCATTTGCTGTGTGTGTGACCCCCCCCCCCCCCAAGGCCAGCATGCTCTGGTTTTGTGTGTAACAGATGTCACAAACTGGTGCTTCCAGAAGCCAAGGCTGTAGCATCACCACCACCTTTCTCTTCCCTCTCTGTCCCCGTGTCAGGAGGACGTCCTGGAGCTGAAGAGGCAGCTGTCCCTGGCTGATGGCCAGTTAAGGAAATCAGAAGTCTCCCGGAAGCGCCTGGAGATCTGCAACAGGAAACTGCTCCTGTTTGTGCAGGTGAGGTGAGGAGCCACCTCGGTGCTGGGCCATCACTGCAGCCTCTCACCTTAAGGGGGACTTTGCAAGTCCAATGAACTTCCTGCTCCATAAGCAAGGGGGTGTTTTTATTTTTCCTCTCTCACCCTCAAAAAGACACTGGGTTGGTTGGGAGGAACCAGGGGATGAACTCATATATTTTCATATCCCTACGAGCGATGTCAGCTCCGTGGGGCAGGTTTTGCTGGTGGCTCTGCTCTCCCTGGCTCACCAGTCCCACCAGGATGTTCTGGTTGAGGCTGTTCCAGGAGCTCTGCTGTCCAAATCATCCCTGCAAACCTTCCCTTGGTAGGTTTTGCTTCTCTGCAAACTTGAAGAGTGGTTTTGTTCTTCCAGTGCTTCCCCCTAACCCCCCAGATTTCCTGAAGAATCTCACACGTAATTGGTTTAGTTTTTTTAAATCGGCTGTTCTTCCACTTCACTCTCCGTACTGGCAATACCAGTGTGTGTAATCAGCAAACTGGCCAGTATGAGAGGCACTAATCCTCAGTGTTGTGGCTTCTGGTGGCCTGTCCCAAGAGCTCCTCAAATCCAGAGGAAACAGTGGAGCAAAAGGAAATGTGGATGCTGCATCCTCTGCTCCAGAGAAGGAAGAATGAAAATGCCTCCAGACTGCAGCAGTACGTGCTGGAGCCTGGGCAGTTTTGGGGGTCAGACTTTGGAAATGCATTCAGCTTGACCCCAGGGTCAAACATCACAGGATTTTGAGCACTGGAGCAAAATATCTTCCTTTTTTTATCCGCCCTTCAGTAGTGTCTGAGAAGTCATGACCCGTGAATACAGGGAGAGCTTCCACGTGCAGGTACAGCCCAGGGTCCAGGGATTGCTATCAGCAGTGATCAAGGCTTGCTGACAGACAGCCTGCAAAAAGTGTTCTTTGGCAGAGGATTTTTGTGTTGCGTTTCATGTGTTTTAGCCTTGGCATTAAAATGCAGGATTCAGATGTGTCTGTGGATTTGCATAGGCTGCCAGTGTTGCCTGAACTGAGAAAGGCCTTGAGATATTCCCTTCAAGGGCAATGAATAAGCAGAAGCTGATTACTGTCATATTAAATCTGATCATCAGGAAAAACCCATGGGGTTTGTTCGCAGGAATTATTCATTCCTACAAGTTTGAAATATCTCTCTCTTTTTTTCCCTTCTTTTTTCCTTTTTTTTTTCTTTTTCTTTTTGTTGCATGGCAGAACGTTCACAAGGTCCTGAGCACACCCAGTCATTTACCAGACGAGAAAAGGTAGGAGATGGCTCCTGGGAATGGTGAACAGCAACATGAAATGTCCTTTTCTGACCTTTCTCAGAGGAAGGTGCTTCACACATAACCTACTCAGAGTTTCTAAACATGCCTTGTTGCTTTGGAAGTGAAACCACGGGAGAAGGATGATCTGGGGGCTGCTGGTGGGTTGGTGCTGGGGTGGGGGGGTATGTGGCCTCTGTTCAGGCTTTTTTGGGCAGTGAGTTGCTGAAACACTGCTCTGGTTAAGTTGTTCTGTTTCAGAATTTTGATCCCCCTGCTTTTCCGCACAGAAACCAGGTTTTGGCTCCAGGAGCACATCCTTATTTATCAGCAGTTACAGTAGATGAGTGTAAGCAAAGAGCTTCACATGGCTCTCAACTGCATGAACGGCTGCAGAAATAGAGCTCAGGCTCCTGGACTCCCCCCCAGCCTGAACCTATGCCCTACCATGTGGGAATAAATGTATCACAACTCTCTGTGTGGTTTTAACTGATTAAATCATTGAAAACTCACTGTCCCACGGATAATGACCAGCCCCTTTAAAAAGAAAAAAAAAACTATGTTTTAGGAAGGATGGAAAACAATTTTTACGTGTCCAGGATGGTTATTTCCAATGTAATGAGGGGGGAAATACTTCAGAGAAATTCTGAAGAATACTTTGAAATCTGTCTGTAACAAAACAGTGCAAGTGTGTCTAACAGAGAGTGTCCCATGCTGCTGAGGGGATGATTGAGATGCAATCCCCCCTGAGCAGCCAGAATTTGTGTAGCACCTCCCTCACGAGAGGCTGGCTGGGATTTTCAATGACCCTTCCATGACAGAAGTACTGACGGCACTTTCCGTGTTTACAAGCGCCGACAACGCAGCAGAAGAGGATAAAACAGACGCAGTCTCAGATACATCTCTTCCATCTTCAGATCTTGTTGACCTCTTGCTATCAGAAGCTAAAGAACTGTTAGCACCAATCCTCTCCAGCAAGGACGGTAAGCACTGAATTCACTGGAGAAACCTGAATCCCAGCAGGTCTCGGGGATGTCTGTCAGTGCCAGTGACACTTTCTACCACCTTCCATCGCTTTTGCCATCCCTGCCATACATGCACCTGATTGCCTCATGCAAACAGAGATGGAGTTGCCCTCTCCCTGTCCATGTGACTCATCTTGGAATCTGAAATGCAGACTGGCAGGGTAAGGAGTCAGAGGTGCCAGTTGTGCTCAAGCCCACAAGGAAAGGCATTTACTCAGTGATAAAACCCCACCTATCAGGCAGGAGGGTGGTTTCACAGAATGGTAGAAATGCTGGTTGAAAGGGACTGCTGGAGATCAGGAGTCAAATCTTCTGCCCCAGGCAGGACCACCCCACTAGGTGGGACCTGCAGTGGCTTTAGCCAGCTGTAGTTCAGCCTCCCAGGATGTTGATCCACAGCCTTCCAGGATGACATGTTCCCTCACTGAGGTTTCTCAGCACCCAGCCTGAACTGCCCCAGGGCAGGATGTGGTCACTGCCCCCAGTTAGAGAGTGTCTGCACTGCCAGGAACAGCTGGGCTCCAGCATCCTCCTCTCTGCCCCTGCAGCAGCAGTGCCATGGCCTCTCCTCTTTGCCAGGTTAAACACATCCAGCTCCCTCAGCCCTCCCCACAGCCTCTCCTTGCAGGTTATGAGCCCTGAGGCTCCCCTTGCTGGACCCCATCCAGTTTCCAAGTAGCTCTGAACAGGGATCCAGCCCCTCTTTGCACCATCCAGGCACGGCTGCAGGGATGCTGAGCAGAGGGAACAGTCAGCTCCCCGTTTCCTGGGCGTGCAAAGCAGCCTCAGTGATGAGAAAATCAGAAAAAAGGCATCCAGCTCCGTGGGAGTCTGGATTAACTTCCCTAGCCTGGGACTCTGAGCTAGTCCCTGAGCCACAAACAATTTTGGGCAGCTGTTATTTGGCCCCACTTGTCTTATTGCACACCAAATGAGTTCCTGATCTCCTCCGTGTCACGGCCAGCTGAGCAAACAGCCCCGAACAGGTGCCCAGGCTTTGCTCTTGGATGCTCTTCACCAACTCAACATGGCCATGGCCCAGCACTGGATTTGTCTCAGGGGAATAACTGCAGCCCTTTGGGAGCACCTCTGGTATATGAGGGTGTCAGCATTTTCCAAGTTCCTGCCTCATTTACAGGGGAATTATCATAAAGTAGCAGCACGTTGGGCATGTTTTCTAACCCTGCACTTACACTTGGCTGTGTGCTTCCATTTGCAGCTCTGCCATGGGACAGGGACCAGTGCCTGCCTGCTGAAGGAATCCCAAATTACAAAGAGTAGGTGTCAGAACCCTGGTCTGTAATTTTGACAACACGCATACTAAAAATTCCTGTTTGGTTCGTTGGGGTTTTTTTTAATCAAAACTGTTGCTTGACAACTTTTAATCAGATAGAGGCCTCCAGATGGCCACGTCAGAGAAATGCATCCCTTTCTAGACACCAAGAGCCTTCCTGCCCTGCACAGTGAAGGATGCTGTGAATTCCTGGATCTCTCGTTTGCTTTCTAAAATGTTGGTTTTCCTTTGGGCCAGATGGGGATTTTTGGTTCTGTGGCATTTTTATGGTGCATAAGGGAAAAAGCATCACTGAATGTGTTAATCTTTTCTGCTGTGGTATCAGGATGCTGTGAAGCCCTGGCCAAGGAGAGCAGGATGACTGTGGTTTTGTTTGAACCTTAAATTTCCCTAAGACTTCTTAAATGGCTTATATTTAACACAGCTGAATCCTAAAGTTATCTGCTGAAAGGGCACTTTAAGACCTAAACGACTCCTACTACTGTCTGAGCTGATCACCTTAGCTCAAACTGAAAGACTTGCCAGCCCAGTTCTTCAGTTAGGCACAAAACAAGACATTTGAAAACCACGATTTCAAGGTTATAGAAAGCATTTTCAGACAAGACAGGTGGCCAGCACAGACCACTAGCCAGGCAAGATCCGTGGCCTCCTCTTCTTTCCCAAGTAACCAATGCTGTGTTCACGTTGTCCTCTGTGTCCTCCTCCCAAACCACCTAACCCCTGTTTCTCCTCTTCAGCCATCTCCATCAGAAGACCACGTGGCCCCCCCCTGCAAGCCAGACCAAGAGTGACCAACCACAGCCACCGAGTCCAACGGAGCTGCCCAAGAAGCCGACATAAATGCCCCGTGGCTTGGCCGTGCTCTGCACCGTGACCCCACCGGGGCTGGGAGAGGGGAAGGACACCCCATGGGCACCTCTCCAGGCAAAGCAGACTGAGAACAAGCTTCCTGACACAAGACTTGGCTCTTCCTCACCCTCCCAGACTTTTTCAGCGACCTCCCCTGCTCGTCTACCTCCGAGTTACCACACAAGGCTATTTGCTCACGGTTCTGCAGCTTTATAGGAAAAGTATTCTCAAGAGGCCCCAGGGGCCTGGATTTCAGTGGCAGCCTTTTTAGAGCTTTGTATTCTGGGTAGTAAGAGGAGCGTGAACTCCCCTGAGGGACTCGGGGGTCTCCAACAGACTTCTTTTGGTATTTCAGATGGAAAACCAAAGCCTATTTTAGTGACTGTCATCAAAACAGCTTAGTCTGTAGCGTCCTAGCTGTCTTGGGATAGGTACTGCTCTTTTTATTCTTTTTGTATAGCTTATCCCAGCTGCAATGCTTGAAGTGGAAAGCAGCCAGTTTGTTGGACCAAGAGCTCAGAGATATCCAGGGGGACGCTCCGGTGACAACGGACACCCTTCCCGGGATGTGAGAGGGGACATAGTGGACATAGTGAACATAGCTCAGTAAAGGTCCACGGTGTCACTGGGAAACGAGATACACCCGATGCAAGACTGTACTGTGAGAGGGCAATGAATGGGACACAGAGCTGAGATGAGCAGAAGGTCTGGAAAATAAAATGGAAACACTTCTCACGGGCGTTTGCTCTCTGGGCTGTGATTGCAGGGGTTGTGCTCGGCGTCCCTGAGACAAAGGCACAGCCTGAGTCCATTTTCCCTCCCTCTGATTTGGGCAGCTCCTAGTGAGATGCATTGGGAAGCTGCAAGGAAATGGGGTGCAATCTGGCTTTTACAAATAATTTGTTAAGATTGCTTCAAATCTCCTTTGTGGGGGTTCAAAGCATGCAGATCCTTTATAGCCCAAATTAAAGGCTTGGGAAAAATCATGACCCTCACCAGCATCTACTGCACTTGGGGATATCACGACACTGCTAAACCAGCAAGTGTGTGATGGAATATATCATATAAATAACCAATCTGAAATGTTGGTTAAACTTAATTTCATAGCTTGAAGCAAATAAATTTTGTGAGTCCATGCCTTGGAATATAATTCAAAGGACTTCCTTCAAAGGGAAACATAATTCTTTGGACCACTCACAAGTAATATTCCCAGGGAGAAGATACTTTCAAAAAATATTCATCTTGGGATAGCTTATGGTTAGTAACTCATTTCCCAGTGCTCTCTGCTTCGATGGAATGATAGCAAATACTGGTGTTACCTGTGGGTTTGGCCCTATGGCTTTGTGTTATACAGACAGGGAAGAGGTGCCCAGAGCAAAATCTAGTCCCACCAGTTTGGTGTCCCCTGACTCTGGAAAAACACCTCCAGTTCCCCTGGGGCAGATCCCAGGGTGCTCCTGGCAGTCTCTTCAGAAGCTTTGGGCCCAGAGCACCAAAAAGATTTTGGGAAGTAGCAGGCTGTGCTGTGTCATTCCATCCACCCAACGGCACTTGAGACCCTTGGTAGAAAAGGGAGGAGCCATGAGGGAACCAGAACTGTTTAGGCTGAACTTAAATCTTGTGGGAATCAACAGAAGTTTTAATTCCAGCTGTGAGAATCATGGAATTTTCTCAAAATACAAGTGCTGAATTCCACCTCCCTGAATGCTGGAGAGGCACAGCCCAGTCCTGTCCCAGCAGGGAGCAGTTATGTGGTCCAAAAGAGAATATCCTTATGCTGCTTCCATAGTCAAGTGATCTGCATGTTCCCGACAGCCACTGGAGACCCTCGTGTGGAGCAAGGATCAAGCACACTGTGTGCTTTCCAAAGCTCTCATATTTCTTTTCTGGTTTCCAACATTTTCTTTGAATTTATCACGTTCCTTTTGCCTTTGCTTTGAGCACAGAAAACTTTCTGCTCTCTATTAATAGCGCCGTTACCAACCACTCCCTTCGCAGGGCAACGCTCAGAGCTAAAGCTCTGCTGAGCTCCTGGAGGTGCTGCTGATTCCAGTGACCCAGAATAACAAACCTGTGTCAAGCTTTACTCCCAGGCAAGTGGAATTAGGCAGAACTCAAGGCTGACGTCTCCTCACGGAGCGAGCGACAGGCAAAAAGGGGAAGCGCTGAAGGAACAAACAGCACTGGAGGAGAAGTCACAGAGCACGTCACCGAACAGGACGGGTTTTATTTACGCAGGGCCTGTCTGGCACTGCAAGGCAGCTGAATTCTGAATTCATTTGCAATGTTTTAGCGTGCTTGTGAAGCTGGGGAGATGTGCTGCTGTTGCAAGGTGCTGTGGCTGTCTCGGAGTGTCTGTCTCAGAGGGTCCCAGCGTGACTGCACAGAAATGAGGAGGAGTGTTTGTGATAAAAATGAGCCCTGCACGGTGTCAGATCATCCTGAGTGGCTCCCAGTACCCGAAGGGAGCCTGCAAGAAAGATGCAGAGGGATTTTTCACAAGAGTATGTAGTGATAGGACAAGGGGGAATGGATTCAAACCGAAAGAGAGAAGGGTTAGATGGGATATTGGGAAGGAATTGTTCCCTGTGAGGGTGGGCAGGCCCTGGCACAGGTTGCCCAGAGAAGCTGTGGCTGCCCCTGGATCCCTGGAAGTGTCCAAGGCCAGGTTGGACGGGGCTTGGAGCAACCTGGGCCCATGGCAAGGGGGTGGAACTGGATGATCTTTAAGGTCCCTTCCAAACCAAACAATTCTGGGATTCTATGGTAAGATGGAAAATGGCAAATATTTTATGATCCACATGAGAAAATGCAGAGTCCTCATAAATGGAAATAACCGAGAGTGTTCAACACATTGCAAGGGATAAACTCATAAAGAGGCGTTTAAAGAGCATCAGCAGGGTCAGCTGTTGAGCTGGAAGACTTGGGGGTTAACCATCAGTGATGTCATGAGTTTATTTTGTATTTTTCTTATGCAAAGAGAAATTCAGTTCTTAACTATTGGTGAGTCTCAGGTTGGGGGAACCTCTTTTCCTGGCAAAATAAACCAAAACAAGATCTGAGTATCTGTTTTAACAGCTGCAAAAGCAATGAAGGAGGGGCAGGATGCTGAGGGGCAGTCACCTCAGCATCGCGTTGAAAGGTGAATGTAGCAGAGAGCCATTAACACGCTGTTTATCTGCAGTCCCGTGGGCAAGGTAACCCGATCTGCTCTAAATGTGCTGGGCTTGGGCTCATTAGGTCTCCAGTTTCGTCCCTGCCGGTGATCTCTGCCATCTCACTGTGTGACCTTGGGCAGCTCAGTTCAGCCCTGTTTTGCTCCAGAAAATAAATGGGGCTGAGAGTAGGAGGGGAAGACAAAGCCCTGGGGATCCATAGGATGTGAGGGGACAAGAGGCACAAGAGGATCTGCGAGTGGTGTGGGATCAGGTACTGCTGATCTGTGTTTTCAGAGAAGAACATGAAGAAAGCCTCAATATTTCAACTTTTGCTGGCTCTCAAAACAACAGATCGAACTTGTGCTTGGCTTTGGCAAAACAGAGCAAGATTAAAAGTGCTAAAGGTTCCTCTGCAGAGGTGTGGAGGTGAAATCCATCCCTGAACGCTGCGGTGGAGTGGGCTGGTTGGTGTGGGTACTCCCCACACTGGAGCTCCAGAGTCTCCTCTTTCTCCCAGCTCCCCTCAGTGACACCTGGACTGCAGCCCAGGTTTAGAGAGTGGGAACCCACGTCCACGCTGCTTTAAATATGGCTCTAAAAAGCAGGTGAACTTTGCCGCTGAATTTTTAAAGAGGCTCCTGAATGATTTAACGGTGCTGATTTTCTCAGGGTTGTGGAAGAGGGGGCTGGGAAGCACCTCCTCAGTGTGATGATGCAGGAAGGGCCGGGCTGGTGGGGTGATACTGCCTTTCCTTCTCTGCTTTTCCTCAGGGGCTGGGGGGCTCTTTCTCCTGCTCAGGGCTGAGTCTGCCCCAGCACCTCCACGACAGACCACACAGTTTTCTGGCCTCACTGACTGCAGTGTCACCACAAACCTCCAGCAGCTTCTTCCAGGGTTTTCATAATAATGTAAATGGGAATTACAACACCATGAACAATCCCTACAAGCTTTCTCTGCATGTGATGCACCAACTTGCTTGAATTCCTGTTGAAATTTTTAAATTTATGCCAACGCATGAGGCATAAATGCTTAGACAAAGAGAGTTTGCAGTGAAAAGCCCTTGGTAATGGGGGAAGTGGAGGCTGAATGGTATCTCCAGACCAGATGTCCTTCCTGGAAGACCTTCTCCTTTCTAACTGCAGGACTGGCAGCAGTTCCTGGGCTGGGCTGCTGTGGGGTGAGAACTTCCTTCTGAGCAGCTCCCATGAGAAATACTGAGGGTCAGTGCCAGCCCTTGAGGCAAGAACCCACTCCTGGCAGGGGGAAGGACAGCCAGAGACTTCAAGGCCCTTGGGAATGCTGTGGAAAGTTGGCTTCGCATCAGGGAAAAAGGTGACTGACACTGGAAGATGCCAAGGTGACCGTTTGGCAGCGGGAGAAAATAAATGTTGGAAAATGGGAATTACACTCAGGGCTGCCCAGCAGAGAGAAGGACAGGATGGGACTCACCAAAATCTCATCCAGTTTTTATGACTAGAACAAAAGGAAAACTACCACAAAGTGGTTATGGGTTGGTGTAAGTTTTGGAGCAAGAGGATGGAAATAATGGGGGGTTTTCCTCCTGTCTTCTCTGAGAAAATTTACAGTGAATAAGGAACAGGAGAGAAATATAATATCTTTGGAAAAAAAAAAAAAAAGCTCCATTCTGAATGGGAAATTCAGAATATTTATTTATCAATAAATATATTTCTATATTCATAATATTTATTTATAAAGTAAATGTAGATTTGCAGGTCTGGAGTAACTTTGTGGTTTTTCATGCCCAGCTGTTGTGCAAAGGCCTTTAGGAAAAGTGCTCTGACTTCACAGGCTGCAGCTTTGGGAGCTTTGACATTCGATGGTCTGTGAGTTCGTTGTTTTGAGAGCAGTGTCAGAGCCATGCTCCTCAGTCTGAGATAGCAGAACATTTCAGGAAATACTGCTGATCAGAAATAGGACCACAGCTTCCTGCAATGCCCCCAGATAAGGGGATGCTCTACAGCTGGAAGTGATAAGGAGGAAGGAAAAGACAAAGCAGCAGTAAATGTCATTTACTGCAATAACATCAGGCAAAGTAGCATCTGGTTCCTGGGGAGATCCTGAAAGGAGGCTTTGAGGGTGCAAAACACACCCAAGCTGGTCTCCCTCTCCTTCACCCCTTTGGTGCCACATGCCCCTCCTGTGCCTGCCCAGCAGCTCTCTCTGCCACCCCAAACTTCTCCAGCCTGGGCATCGTTTCCTCTAGAGAGCCACATCCTCAAGGGCCATCCCTGGGTGGTGACAACTCTCTGCCACAGCCTCTTTCCCCAGCACATGCCTTGACAAACAGGGCCCACTCACCGTGTGCCCCCAGGCACAGGGCAAGGACAGTGTCCCCAAGGCTCATGAGCCAATGTGCAGATTTGCAGAGGTGGCAGGAGAGGAGGAGGCTGAGAGGTGAGAGTGCACCCCAGTGTCCTTCTCAGCATCCCTCCCCCTTGATCCCTGTCGGAGATTTCAGTTATGGGAATATTTGCTTGACGTGTGATTTATAGTCACGAAATAAATCAAATAATACAATGCACTGATGGAATTAAAGGCTGAGGTGAACAGCACCTCTGTTGATGAAGGGCTGATTGTGATGAGTGGGATTAGATCATGTTTGGGAGCTGTGGCTCTGCCTCCTCCAGCCCCGACCTGATCAGGTTCCTCCTCAAGGGCAGGGGCCAGTTTGGGAAGAACCGTGGAATCATGGAATATGCCGAGCTGGAAGGGACCCACAAGGATCATTGAGTCCAACGCCTGGGCCTGTCCAGGACACTCCAACAATCCCACCCTGTCCCTGAGAGCGTTGTCCAAACGCTCCTTGAGCTCTGGCAGCCTTGGGGCCATGACCACTCTGCAGGATGGGGTGAACTCATCACACCCCCCTTTGTTATTGTTGGGAGTAGTGTCCAGGTCTGGAGTCCTCAGCATAGGAAGGACATGGAGCTGCTGGAAAGAGCCCAGAGGAGGCCATGGAGATGCTCCAAGGATGGATCCCTCTGCTCTGGAGCCAGGCTGGGAGAGCTGGG